ATTGATTTCTAGATGTCGTTATTTTATTATTACGCAACATGATAACAGTAGGTGTATTTACACGTGTAAGCCAACATATACATAGATTATCAGTGGTATAACAAAATCATTTTATAAATAAAATATTGGCCCGAAACAAGAGTACAAGATGGGCTCGTCACCTGTCTTCTGGTATTATTTCCATATTGATCAAAACCTGCTTAAAATGTACAAGTATAGCCACTGATAATCTGATATTCGGTTCAAAGTCTTGATAGTGTGCTTGAAAAACTTTTTTATAGCGTTATCTTTGTTTATATCAAAAACGGGCAAATAATCAATACCCCCCCCCCCAATCCTTAAATTCTTAGCCCTAGCTTTATTTATGGTAGAAGTGGTCCTTTTGTTGCTTTATATAACTCTAATACCGGTATGTGTGAGACATGCTCTTTTTTTATGTGTTAAGTTGTAAGGATGTTTATTTTCTTATATATTACGGTTTATCTTTTAAATGAGATAAACCGTATTAATTAAAGAACCAAGTTTAAGACAAACAAATGATGTATGTGGAAAATAGCGGCCACAGTTCACTTCGAATGACGAGGTCTGACATGATAGCAGAATGCCAACGTAATTAATTGATTTAATTGACAAGTCTGTGCACCATTGGTGACAAAGGATGCTCAAGTTCCTCAAGGTTAAATACTAAAGAGAACGAGGGCCATGATCACCAATTACGTCGGCTCATATTCGCACCACCCCCTGGTTCCCAGGAGAGTGAAGATTAACAACTTCTAGATCACAAAACAGTTAAGCTCGAACTGGTACCAATTCAGAATTAATCTTGCCACGTGAGTGGGTCTATCTATACACACTCATTCATCAAAAAATGTTTTTCCTGTAAAATATTTGAATTGATTTAAGTAACTTCACGAAATCCTTAAAATGTGAGATGTTTTATGAGACAAAAACAATTGTTAGTATACAAGAGATCCTAATGAAGCTTGTGTGTTACTCTCAAGAACAAAATAGAAGAAACCTTCTTATAAGTTGCATGACACAAAGTTACACTTCACATGGAAATTAGACTGTCAAATTTCTCTAAACCACCTTTACCAAGAGTAAAGACAGCTTCAATAATGAGTATAGAAACAAATGAATGCATCCAGGAAACAAAATATGAAGATATGTAGGATAAAACAAATGCATTTAGGTTATAAAACAAATTAGAGAAGACCAAAATGAGAAGACCAACGGCTTGATTCATGCTAAAACTATTAAAGAAAAACAAATATGATAGACAGCAACCAAAGAAAACCACTAGATCACAGGCTTCCAAATTGGGACATGAACACAAAGAATGTTACGGGGTCTAACATGTCCGTGAGCGCTCAACCTTCTACCAAGCGGAGACAGTGATGCAACTACACAAAACAGGAACAAACCGCAAGAGTCATTCGAAAAGGGTCCGATTCACCACTTAGCACAAAAACAAATAACAAAATGTCTAGCCTGTTTATCTTGTTCCTTACAGTAGAAGAACTTATGTGAGTTCCAGCAAATAAAGTTGTCAGATTTTATTAAAGTATACCGTTTGATTAGCTAAAGGACAATTAAAAAGCACGTTTTCTATCTCTAACATCCAAAGATGTGTAGCACGTTTTCATTATGAATAATTAAAAATAATGGAATCTCAAAAATTTATCAAGTTTTTTTTGCAGTTTTGCATCAAATTTAGAAAGTTTGAAGTGCTTTCAAGTAAGTATGAAAGGTAATATTCAAAAATATAAATACTGTTATATAAATAATGGTTGTGGTCAATTTCTCATTTCTTTCGTGAAGTGCGATCAACTAATGCGTAAATTTGATCGGACTCTTTGGTATTGGCATTTCCTGCAAAGAGTTGGACTATTCACCAATGGTCTAACCTGCAATAAATGCGTTGGACTGATGAGTATTGTACTATCTTGCAATGCGTTGCACTAAATAACAATGAGATACATGCATGCATACATGGAAACAAATAACGGACTAAAACTAAAAACATACCCAACCACAATGTTCTTAAATGAGAATGATATTGGTCTAAGACTTGCAACATTGAGTCCATGATAAACGAAATAAAGTGGATTTAACTTGACATAATAGTTCACTCATTTCATTCGAGAAGTTCATTATCAGTTGACAATGAAAATAATCCAATTCACATGCCTTCGAATTTATACATCAACTTTCAAATCTAATGGGGCCCCGGTGGCCGATGTTTGGTTCAACTACCGTAACACCAGCCTCTCAACATTGAGGTTGTGACTTCGAGCCCCGCACATGGCAGGTACGTTCGATTTCAATCTTAATTAACCAGGATTGCCAGTTTCCTGCCGAAAGTATGTGGTTCCCTCCGGGCACTCCGGCTTCCTCCACCAATAAAAACTGGCCGTATCGAAATATCCAATAATGCTGAAATTAGCATTAAAACACAAAAAAATCAATCAATCAATTTAAATCCGATGTCATACAAAATGATCTATAGGATGTGAAATTTAATTTCAATAAGACTGCATCAACACAAAATAATCCTTAAAAAAGTTTATACTATAAACTATTCAAAGATCAATGAAGATGGGCAAGAAAAAGATCTTTGAAGGCCGTACGATGACCTATAATTGCTAATATCCACGTCATTTTAACTCTGGTGGATAGTTTTCTCATATCATTGGTAAAAATCATACCACATCTCCTTATTTTTATTTTAAGCTACCTTTCAGGATCGTAAATTTGTTTAACATATTCTCAGTAAAATGAACGAAGCCAATAATATATAGAATTACTTAGTCTAATTAGTTAAACTTCTAGTGACATAGACAAACCTTTTTGTTTTAGCTTACTATACGGTATGGGTTTTGTTCATTTATGAAAGCCGTGCGGTGACCTAAAGTTGCTGGCCGGCATTCTTGTCCTTTGGTTTCTGGCGGATAGAACGTTGTTGATTTGATAATCATACCACGTTTCCTTATTTTTAAAAACATACACGTTAAAAATCATGTATTGTTCTAGTATAGTCCCATTTAGATTATGGAAATACCAAATGATACCTGCGTAAAAACTAAGGTATGATGGTGATGATGATGGATGGCTGCCTAACGCCCAGTGGCAAATTAAAATGCACATTCAGGACGAGAACATGTTAATGTAATATGAATATTAACCCTGCTTTCTACTAGACCGACACGCTGAGCCCGATTTTAACGTGCTAATTCACAAGGTAACAGTCCGCAGGTAGACATGTCACCTTATCCGGACTCCGAGACGACCAGTCTTTGCTCTTACTCCTTAATGACGCGTGCTTAGCTGAGAAGCAGCAAATACCAATTTTAAATTCTTTGGTTTGACCTGGCCGGGGTTCGAACCGACGACCTCCTGCACTCGAGAAAGATATGAATTTTGTTGATGAAAGTGCAGATGACATCACAATCTTTTTACACATAAGCACAATACTTAGTCTAGCTCATATAATTATCAAACAAGATTAGCACATATAAGCATCAAATGAAATAAGCATCAGAAAGAAAGAATATATATATATATATATATATATATATATATATATAGGTCAGAACCACTTTTATTAAGATATCTTATCAACGCATAAATAATGAATAAGAAACAAAGCAATTATGTTATATATAGAGCATTTTAAAATCCACAACACGCAACAAGCACTATCATACGCTAAATGTTTTAGCCAACTATGTAGCCAATAAGCATGTAACGTTAAGCAGGTAGCAAAATTAAAACAGATATTGCAGAAAGCAGGAATATAATTAAGTCACGATACAGCAGATTTTGGTATTAACAGGCACTGCAATAACATTGTTTCCATCACACCAGCTAGATATGTAATTTTAAATCTGATCAAATAATGCCGTAGTTTCTGGCCTCATTTAACAGTGCATTCCAAATTCGCGCTGGCTCATAACTAACAGAATTTTTACCATACTTTGTAGTTCTTGGTATTTGTAAATCTCCACAGTTCTAATATCTAAAATTATACAACGTTTTTAACGACGGTAATTTTGATTTTTCCAGTATATTTTTAATAAGTGGTTTAGAAATTATTATATACAAAACGAAGCGCCTGTTCCTGAATATGCACAATTTAAGTCCAATGTCATTTAAAAAAGTCCACAGACTTATTTTTCTCGTAAAAAATGTCAATGCCATAGAATGATCCCTTTTTGTAATAAGTCATTTGTAAACAATGAAATGTTGTATTGTTATGTCAGGTGTACATTTATCTTTCATATTTTCCATTTTTGTAAAAATATTTCCAATAATGATATAAGAAAACAATTATGAAACTAATATTTACATGAAATGTGAGCACATGAATGTTATAATAAAATAAGTTTTGCATAATTATTGGAATCTGAACTTGGGTTCTTTTTTTTTGAGAGGAATGGGGGGGGGGGGGTCAATTGTTTCATAATGACTTCATTTTCAGAAGGCTTCTTTTAATAATTCTGGACAGGGACAGTCCATACTATTAGTATAGACTGTCCCTGTCTAGACTCATCATTCCCTAGAAAATTTATTCCTGGAACTTAATTTACTAGTTACATTTTGAAAACAGACTTCCTTCCATGGGAAACAATAGATAGGGGACATTTATTTTAATACTGTAACACTGTCACTTCCACCTCAAGGACCAATATAGTCAGCCTTGCTTTTATTCATCTAGTAAACCTTGTGACTTGCCGGCGGGTAGCCGGCCAATATGAAGTAAGCTCAAAACTTGTTTCCTGACGTAGTGGCTTTCATAACTAAGAATCGTTCAGTAAAATCTGAGTGGTGTAAATTTTAAAACCAGTCAATAAATGATTTTAGCAAATAATACCACTGCTTAGTAAAAAAATATGGTTCTTCCCTGTTAGTTATTGGTTTGAAAGTTTTTAGTGGTAATAGACTTGATCGTCTTAATGTTTACACCGGAAATAACTTTATCCACATGGCGGGAATTTAAAAATATGGCAGCTGTATTGGAACTTCTGTTGAAAGGCGATATAACGCCGAATACAGTTGTCCATTGGATCAAATTTAAGTCTTATCTGGTATTTAATTAATTATGAAGTTTTGGGACCAGATCTTTTTCAATTTCTTTTAAATATAAACGTCAAATGATATAAGCTACTGCATCCCACCTTCAGATAAAGGGGAGTTCATACACCTTAGTCCTTAGTCCTTATCGCTATCTGTCCGCAATTACTGGACATCACACAGGTTCCCGTAAAATTTTGACGTCATAATACAAAATATCTGACGCCACAATGGAAAAGTGATTGTTGTATGACGTCAATAGTTCAAGCGGGACAGATTCTCGGGCCAGCCGGGAATAGCGATAATGTGTATACTTAATTTGTAAAACCTGGGTATCTAAATACTGTGTGCAGAAAACAAATGTAAACACCGGGCTAAGTGGTAATTTTAATCATGGGCACACTAACTGTTAGTAATTCGGCATTACATCAACAACTGCTACACCTTATCGCTATTTGTCTGCCATTAATGGACATCACACAGGTTCCCGTAAAATTTTGATGTCATAATACAAAATATCTGACGCCGCAATGGAAAAGTGATTGTACTCTCAGATCTGTACTTAAGTGTCTTTTTGTTGTTTGGATTTACAAGTCCACTTGTATTTGTAGTATTTGTACTTTTATCCATCTGATGAGTTCAGCCTCTTTCAACTGATTTTTATAGTTTGTTCTTATGTTGTACTGTTACACCACTGTCCCAGGTCATGCAGGTTAAGGGGAGGGTTGGGATCCCGCTAACATGTTTAACCCCGCCACATTCTGTATGAATGTGCCTGTCCCAGGTCAGGAGCCTGTAATTCAGTGGTTGTCGTTTGTTTATGTGTTACATATTTGTTTTTCGTTCATTTTTGTACATAAATTAGGCCATTAGTTTTCTCGTTTGAATTGTTTTACATTGTCATTTCGGGGCCTTTTATAGCTGACTGTGCGGTATGGGCTTTGCTCATTGTTGAAGGCCGTACGGTGACCTATAGTTGTTAATTTCTGTGTCATTTGGTCTCTTGTGGAGAGTTGTCTCATTGGCAATCATACCACATCTTCTTTTTTATATATTTAAGATAACAGTTGATGATTACATTTTGACATGCCTCAATTCAATATTTAAATGATGAAAAAAAAACAATACATTCAGGAGCTTGATGGTGAAAAACCCAATATGATATTTGCATGAGGGGTGAATTGGAATTAATAATGCAATTGAAAAAACTATTTCACTCAATTACATCAAAATTGGTGGGTAAAAAACCAAAATTTGTGAATTTTTATCTGGAGCTCTGCATTGTCAAATAAATATCACAAGGACTATCAAAGTTGTGGTTACACAGCTATAAATGATGGGGATTTTTATTTTCATATACCATGATGCACAATGATACATGTGTTATTAAAATTTTGCAATCTGTTTATATTGACATTACTTGAACAAAATTACTAAAAAATACACATAGGTCTGAGTGAAAGTAGAGGCTAAGCTGGACTAAATAAGATGTTGCAGGAAAATTGCCAGTGTACTACTCTAGTTGCCAGATAGAACATGCTGGAATATGTTTTAACATCTAAAAGACACTGCTATCACATGTTTAAAAACTTAAAATGAGTTCGAAAGAAAATAAAATGAGGTTCACTTTAATTTATTTTCAATTTGAGAGAATAGGGTCCCTGGCTAAGCACAAATGATGTAAACATCAAATCGGCTGTCAAATATGTACATAAGTATGTATCAAGTATTTCCTTGAATAGTGCAATATTTACCAAGGATATCTTTAGCATAACATTGTTCCTCCACTAGAATGTCTAATTAAAGATATGCTGTAACAGGAGGTACACATTAATACAAGGCATGTGTTCTGTAAATATATCTATGCTTTACATATTTGTTTAGGGGTCAGTTGAAGGACGCCTCCGGGTGCACGAGTTTCTCGCTGCATTGAAGACCCATTGTTGGCCTTCGGCTGTTGTCTGCTCTATGGTCGGGTTGTTGTCTCTTTGACACATTCCCAATTTCCATTCTCAATTTTATTTAGGTGTAAAAATACATGTATCAACATAAATAACACATATATGATATAATGGTGAAATAACCTTACAATTCTGTTGCAAGATATATATTTTGTACTGAAAATCCTAGAGTCCATACATGCATATAATATCCAACAAGATTGAAATGTATGATTGTTTTTCTTTATTTTACACAGGATAGTTCTTGTGGACAGCTTCAAGATTTTGGAAAACTTCAGCAAGAATTTGTTCCTTTTTTTCTAAACTATCTTCGGGATCAGACATTGCATCTACTTCAGTCATCCAGATCTGCTGCAAATTCTCCAGCCAAGACACTGTCTGCACAAAAATTGAAAAAATCTCTAAATGGGTCATCAAAATCAGAAAGTGGCAAACGTGTACAACTGTTTGGTGCCAGTCCTGGAGATGGGTTGGAAGATATTAAAAGCTCCTCAGCATCTGTATTTTCACCAAATGTTTCGTTTGACTCTCCATCTTATCTTGGAAGCAACAAACATGCTACAGAAGTCAGACAAAAAGGGAGGTCGTCTTTAAGTGGCAGTTCATCAAAAAATGTTCACAATGCCAAATATCAGAGTGATGCTCAAAAATCAAAACAAAAATTTAGTCTTGGTGAATTCATTTCACCAGAAGTCACAAGAAAAAAGAATTCTCCTTATTCATCAAGCAGTAAAAATAGATCTATTGACAATTCACCATCTCCAGCTATTACTCATAGGTCAGGTGGGAGACGGAAGCATTCGTTAGATCCTAATGACTTACATCAAAAGAGTCCTGCACCTGTCTTTAGCTTGGCTAGTGTGAGTGATTTTCCTCCTATGGGAGGAGAACCCGGTCTCGCTGTCAGGTAGATATTCAGTATCCCTAGTCTGATAAAATAATTAAGATTGATATTCACAACTCATAAGATATAACATGTAATCTTAAGTTTACTTTTATAGTATAATTAATAGAGAGTTGTTTAATTGTGTTGCAATATTTTAATAGAATTGCATTTACCTTTTAAGTCTCCCTTTCTAAGTTTTAGATGTGCATTTTTTTGATAAATATTAGAATATCTTCTTGCAGGTAACATTCAAATGAACCCAGTTTTTTTACAGTGTACTGTCAACACTGTAGACCAACTAGTTTTGCAATTTATTAACTGACCTCAGCAATTTATATACTAAAACGAAGTCTCACAAATGTGTGGTATTTGAATTTTCTTTTATATGAATATGTAAAATATGTTTGGAAATCACATAGAAGAATTTCAACATAAAAAACTAAAAATAGCTAAATGCAAAAATAATTTGGATAACAGTAATTTACCATAAACAAAGTAGATATGTATTTTTACTTTGGACTAAATTATGGACTGTTTATATTGTGAAAACAAACAATTTTTAACAATAATTTTATAAAATATACTGTTAATTCAAAAATTATTGCAAGGTTTTTATTAATACCAATAATGCGAATGGGTGAGTATCTCAATAATAAGAACTTGCATTCTATATCGGTATGCAGCTTTTCCTGAAGTCGCAATAATTAATCTCTCATTTATGTCCATTCTTTAAAAATCCCAATAATAAATGCAAGCAATAATTTCTGAATTTACAGTGCAGCTATAATTCAAATAACATTGAAATGGAGATTAAAAAAAAAGATTTTTATACCCCTCCCCTTAATTATTATACATTTAGCAAAAATGAATGACACAAATTGAAGCTTAAGATAATAATTCAAACATCATGGAATTTTTATGCCCCCTCTGTAGTGGAGGGGGCATTAGGTGTTACCCTTGTCCATCCCATCCGTCGTGTACGTCCCGAAAAATTGGTTTCCGTTCTCTTACTTTAGTTTGCCTCAACCAAATGTTATAAACTTATACACAATGCTTATTAGATGTACCACACAACACAGATCAAGCTCGAAATTGGGTGGCATCACATTTACTGTTCATGAGTTATGCCCCTTTATAGACATAAAAATTGCTAAATTTTTTGTTTCCATTCTCTAACTTTAGTATGCCTCAACCAAATGTTATGAAACTTATACACAATGCTTATTACCACAAAACACAGATCAATTACGAAATTAGGTGGCATCACTTGTACCGTTCATGAATCATGCCCCTTTATAAACATAAAAATCGCTGAATTTTTCATTTCCGTTCTCTAACTTTAGATTGCCTCAACCAAATGTTATGAAACTTATACACAATGCTTATTACCACAAAACACAGATCAACTTTGAAATTGGGTGGCGTCACTTTTACTTTCACGCATTTGAGTTATGCCCCTTTAAAAATGAAAAAATTGCTAAATTGTCGTTTCCGTTCTCTAACTTTAGTTTGCCTCAACCAAACGTTATGAAACTTATACACCATGCTTATAATCACAAAACGGTCTTAACTACGGGAATCCTGCATCTGTATGTGGAAGTTGACTCATGCATCTGTGGCCCATAGAAACATTCTCCATTTATTTTTGCATAAGTTCTTATACTCTCATTTCAGTATGCTATGTCCTACGCATTACTATAGACTTAAAAGTGTTAAAACCTGTTTATCTTTATTAAAAAAAAAACTCACACAAATATAGCATGTATTGTAACTATTGAACTACATGCTTTATATGATGTTAACTTTGCAGGGCAACCATGAATATGCTCGAATCTCCTAATTTTGAAATGGGAACACCAAGACCTACGAAAAATATAGAAATCACCAAGAGCAGACGGATAAGTTTTACTACCTTACAGACTGAACCTAAAACTCCTACCAGAAGGATAAACCCAACACAGGTCACAGGCTGTCAGCATAACAAAGTATTCTCAGAGGCAGAGGAGAAAGTTAACAATAAACCTAAGAATGGGGAGATATTAGAACCAGAAAAGGAATTGTTAAGGTTTGTGGATATTGCACATTAGGAATTCTGAAATGGGAAGAGATTTGTGGTGAATTTAGATATTTTGTAAAAAGATTTTTCAAAAGCATGTAGCCAATTTCAACTGTAGTATAAATCACTATAAACAAAAATTTGTTTGAAAGAAAGATACATGAAAATATGAAAATTTAAAGAGTTTTCAAAAAAATCTTAATCATTTTGCATATATTTTTTCTGGAGAAGCATTCTGCATGAAAAAACGCGAACAGAAACATGTAGTTCTTTTGATTTCATCAATATGTTAACAGGGCTAGACAATAATACTTGTCTAAAAGTAAGGTGCTGGAGGCAAATTCGGTCAGACTAGTAATAGGAAAAAAAGAAAGATTTCACTAAAGAGATGAATTGGACCTGAAAAGATGTAAATTAATCATATATAAATAATTTGTCAATTTAAACTGTATGTACTTTTTATGTATTTCATCAATCTTTAGATTTATTTTTTATAAGTAAATATTTTTGGACTTCAAAACTCTGACCTGAACACTAAACAGGGAAAGGAATAGACCTGAAAAGTCATTTTCAAGTATGGGAAGATCATAAAAATCTAAGTCTTAGATATGCAACTCACACTGATGAAGAACACATCATGAATGATTTATGCAAGGATGTCAAATAAAATTAAAACAATGCCATTCAAAATTTATGATATTTGATAATATTTTTAGAGACAATTGGGTTTTGGTGAATACTTGTGCAAAAATGTAATTGTAGCGGCTTGGTTAAAGAAGCTTAAATTTAATTCAATCTTTCAATTTACTGAATGTTACAGATTAGAAAGAGAAAAGATATTAAAAGATTTTGGTACTGATATGATGGTACCTATAACACCAACCAAACCAGGACTAGAAAGATCCAGTAGTATTGTAGAGGTCCCTTTGGCTGAAATGTCAAAGGTCACACACACAGAAAAGCTGGATATTTTAGCCAGTATTTATTCCTCATGCTTGAAAGGTTTGTTGTATAGATGGGTTATAAATCTGTGTTTTTTAAGTTTGCATGATAAATGCATATGCCTACATCAAGTAGTAGAAGTGAAATTGACAAATTTGTCAAAGCTAATTAAAGATGTGGTATGATTGCCACTGAGACAACTATCCACCAGAGACCAAATGACATAGTTGTTAGCCACTATCAGTCTTTGTACTGCCTTCATTAATGAGCAAAAACCCAGACATGACAAAATGTTTAACAATTCAAATTAGAAAACCAACAGCCTCATTTATGTACGATACAACAAACGAAAAACAAATATGATATACAATAAAAACATCAATGACTTAATTACAGGCTCCTGACATGGGACAGGCACATACAGAATGTGTCTGGATTAAACAAGTTAGTCTGTCTGAACAATATAAAATGCTAAAGCTGACTGACATTTTGTAGCTACTTATTTAATGATGATTCATTTCAATGTTGATTTATAAAAAAAGAAAACTTTAACTGCAAAAGGTTAGGTTAAATATGATGAAAAACCAAGTGTAACCAGTCAGGGGTACTACTTAAACAAGTGATTTCAGAATCACTCCCTCAAGTGATTTTGGCTGTGAAATATTAAAAATTTTCACACAGACTTTTTAAAATCACTGAAACAAGTAATTTTAGAAGTTAAAATGTAATCACTTTAATAAGTGTTTATAACATTTTCTTGATATTTTTCCCACAAGCTTGATTTTTTTATTGGTAAAAAGACAACAATTCCATTGAAAAAACAACTATGTATATGCAGAAATTGTCTTTTGCTTGATAAGCCTGACACTTTTACAGTTTTTTAAAATATGCAAAAACTGGAATAGTTTGTAGATTAGGTCATAACCTTGAAGTAGATCATTCTAACTCTTAAGAAAACCAATCAGGTTACCTAATATTGTTGATCTTTGTCTGATAGTAAGAGTAGTTAATGAATTTTTGATTACAGAAAAATTCCCAAGGGTACTTTTAAAAGCTTTAGCGCACTAACTTACTGCCCAAGCGCACTGGTGAAATTAATATACAAAGAAAAAGGGATAATTGATTTATGTAGGAAAATTATAGAAAAGATTGTGAAAATATGGAAAATCAATGAAATTAGCATTTGAAGATCAAAGAAAACACTAAAATCACTTAAATAGGTGATAACTGAATTTATCAAATCACTGAAATAAGTGATGATGAAATCACTTGTTTAAGTAGCACCCTTGACTGGTAACTGGTTTTACAAAAAATCTTCTTTTACACTATTTTCCAAAGTGGGATTTCTATCTCCCACTTTGGAGGATTGAGAATTTGACACTGCAGTCTTTGCTTCTTTATCAGAGGATTGAGAATTTGACACTGCAGTCTTTGCTTCTTTATCAGAGGATTGGGAATTTGACACTGCAGTCTTTCCTTCTTTATCAGAGGATTGCGAATTTGACACTGCAGTCTTTGCTTCTTTATCAGAAGATTTATCATCAGAATGTTATACATGAAAGATAGAATTGACCTATGAGAATAGTATTTGGTTATACTATTGACATATAGATTAAATAGACAATAAACCGGTAAATAAGAGATAAGCCAAGACTGACTTTATTTAGTGTTTACTTGAGTAGAATTGTCTTCACAATTAATGGAAATAAGCAGATTTTGATACAAGGATTTTTTTTCAGAAAATTTATTGCCTAACATTATAGTTGAGTTGTATTTTATAATACAATTGTTGACAGCAAAAAGTTCTGACCTGGACCTAATCAATGACCTTACTGATGGTAAGTTTATATTGCTGGTTAATAACAGTGGTTCTTTTATTATTTATCAGTTTGTTTAATTTATACAATGTATGATTCTGGATGATTAAGACCACATGACGATTGTGAAGTATGTTAACCATTTGACTCTTTCTGACAAAAGCAAGTTTCCTGTTTTAAATTTAGTTTAAAAAAATAGACAGCAAAAGTCTAGTTGTTCTTTTGAAGTACTTAGATTCAACATTTGATTCTATAAATTGGAGAAATGTAAAACTAGATTCAACTTTGGTGCAGTTTTGACTTGTGTTAATTTTAGTCCTTTCTCTTACTATCTAAAAAAGTATAATATTGCTATGGAAAATGTTTACTCCATTGGATTATTCTTAGATAGAATATTTGGTCAGGAAGGTATACATATAAAAATAATGACATATAGGTCACTGTACAGCCTTAAACAATGAGCAAAACCAATATCCCATGTATGTTTCAGAGGAGAATTGATTGATGTTTGCTAAATGTCATGTGGCCAATATTTCATGCATATTCAGGATCAGAAGAAGTTGACAATATATCCAATATATAAGTTCTACAAGGTGATTTTCTTTGTGATACTGTTTGCTTTATAATATTTACAGATATAATAGATGAGAATTATTTTACCTCCATACATAATGCAGTGTACTTTTCTGTTAAAGTTCTTGAAAATCAGTTTGGGTAAGTACACAGGCTAACTTTGCTTTACTTTTTGTTCACTAATCTAAAAAACTTTTACAGAAGAAACAGCAGTATCTTCCAAAGTATAAAGAAAATCTTACTTGATTGATTGTTTTTCCTAATATCCGGTAGCAAATATTATAGTGTTATTAACTGGCTGTTTCTGTATTGGCCCTGTTATAGATTCGAGGTAAGCTGTATGGGACCCGAGACTCAAAGAGTCTAGGGCCAATACAGCTGATCGAGAATCTATAACAGGGCCAATACAGAAACAACCAGTTCATAACACTTTTATTAAATGATTTTAATTCTTTTAATTAGAATAAACTAAGAAACTTACCATGAAGAAGATACAGAATTTCATATCTGAACTTGTCTGTTTGCATTCACGACCATGGATTTTTTGTCAACATTGTCAGATGTAATTTCTGATTTCTCGTCCAAGTACTTAATATTATGCTATTGCAATTCATTTTATCTAGCAAAATAAAGTAGCTGGGAAGAATAAATCAGACAGTTTAACTATTCTTACTCATGGATCGTCTGCGTTCTGATGATTGATCAACAGAAATGAAACAGTGTCAATAATCGAAAGTCGTACTTGAAAAGGCTGTGAAATATTTCCGTTTCAAGACTTCAAGACGTTACAAAACACTGAACATCATTTAAACTTTTTATTTTATGACTTTAAGTTAAAAAAATATAATACAAATGTTTTTTATGCATAACGATATGTCCAAAGTTAAGTAAGGCGTAAGAAAATTGAAACCGGAAGTGAACGTCCCGTATTAGCCCATGGGCCAATACGGCTTTTTTTTCGTATTGGCCCTGTTTTTTCCGTATTGGTCCTGTCCGAAAAGCAATTTTAACTCTTGATTTATATCGACAGGGCAACGTCATCAGTATTGCACATGCTGATTTATCCGAATTAGGGGTGATTTGCTCATATCATTTAATAATTCATAATTGTTCATGATAAACTGACTTTTGATAAGTTATTTTCACCTCAAAACTTAAAGTATTCACTTTACACCCATGACATATTGATTTAAAGAAAATTTGGTAATTAAATGATATTTCTACTTATGAAAGGAGACTGTTTTATGAAAATGTATTTCATATCATTGTATGTAAGTATTGCTATTTATCTGGGTGCATCTTTTTGATTTTTGTGGTTTATTCCATGTCAGAAATTCAATGTCATACAAAATTAATTATTATTCACCAAGCACCGAAGCAGTGAATTAGATAATCCAGAAGTAACAAATGAGAGAGATATGAGAAGATCCACAAAATTATATCATAGTCAACAAAGACCATAAGCATTGAAAATTGATGCTAGTAGATAAAAAACTTGCAAAATTGACAGATTCATTATTTGCACTAAAATAGGAAGGAAACTCGTATTACTTTTTATCAATAAATTTGTACATTCAGTTTGTCTTTTCCTTTACCTGCTTGATAAAAAAAATTCAAAATTTTTCAATTTGGTTATAGCATTTTACAGCATATAGACAAAGGAACATTACGACTTTTAGCAGAGAATCAGAGACTTGTTATTTTCACACCAAGACTTGCAGCTAGACTGAAAGATCTTTGTAATGATTCAGGAGATTTTGTAAGTATTAGTTATAATATGTATCAGTATGAATAAAAAGAGTTACAGGATATGCATTAATGAGACAACACCTCAATAACACATCAAGAAAGAAAAAGAAGTCTTACAGACAATTCTTTAAAATGTAATGCTTTAACATGTCCCCATAGTCTTAACAAGTTAATAAATTGATTAGGCTTTTCAAAATTTGCAATGAATACAAATTCCTTAATTGATATATAAACCAAGATACATATGTTACTAAAGACAACACTGACAAGGTTTCTAATTTTTGACAGAACCATTTACATGTGGCTGGGTTTAAGTAGTTTTTGAACACTTTTCTTTCCCTTTGCTATCTTGGTCATTGCAATAATTTAATAATAGAACGTTCAATAAACATGTAATTTTCCTATCAATGCACTGCATAAACAGAATATTATAAAGATACAATGCCACATAAGACAGGTCGGGTGGATTAAGTTTTTCCCCAACAGTTTCTACAGTACACACTTGCTGGAAAATCCATAACAACTTACCTGTAAAGTATGTTTTAAAACAAAGCTTAGAGCTGATAGGTGTTTTCTTCGTAATTAAAAACCAAAAATACACACAAATTTAGGGTTAAGGTAAAATTAATTATTGATTAATGATTAGAATTTGATACTAACGTGTATATATAAGAGGCATATACTGTGGATTCAACTGTTTTCGTGGATCGATGAAAACTTGCATTTTTGTGGATACTTGATTTAGTGGTTTTGCCATAGGCTGCATACAAGCTTATAGAAAATTTGTAATTGGTTGAACGTTTAAATTTTGGTTCTACTGTACCCACGAAATCCACAAAAATTTGGTATCTCATGATAATAATGAATCCACAGTATGGTTAATTTACAAAATGATTATTTTTAAAGATTGTGAAAATTAATTTCAGTAATATAGTTATTATTTTAGTGTGGACCAGTATACCCAAGGTCACCAATTGGCAGTGTTTCATTCCAAGCAGAAACAGACAACAGGAAGAACTTTCCTAATGACAGAACATTTCATTTATTTAAAAAGCAAAGGTATATTAAAAACCTAGTTTAATTGTATATCAAACTGAGAAAACCTAAATCTAATTTGTGTGATGGTTTCAGTATCTGCCTTAATTTCCTGGTAGAATTATAAATACCTGCTGAACTATGTATTTATGTTAGAATTTAAGAGGAATCGTAAAATGTACGGACACTATATTTATTCTTCAATATAATTATTCATACATTGTAGTTTCAAGTTTGACTTTCTGTAAAATTTAGATTTATCACAAATTTGGTATTTATCAATGAAATGCATGCATATATTTTACCAAGACCATTATTGAATTAACAGATGTTTTTCATACCCAATCACTGAATTGGTAGATGTGATAAGAATTTGATAGTAATAGGAGTTGATTTTATTTTTAACATTTTTTTGCATTTTATAATTTTCTAGAGATGCATTCTATGAACTACTACGAGAGTGGGAAACAAATCATCACACTCCAGGATGGACAATAGCAGGGAAGATGGGGGACAGAATTAGAGCTCTAGTCAGTTATAAAACAGAATTAGCCAATCATCTACACTTTGCCAGACTATTCCAGTCACAGCTGATTAGTGTAAGATTATATTCAATTGTGCTTGAAATATTTTACAAATACAAAAACTCTTGCTTGATATAAAAAAAAATTCTGATAAATGGTCTTTGTTTTTTGAAGTCAACATTGCACTGTTACACTGACAGCAGCAATTGCAGGCAAGACACAGGATTCCATGGAACCCTTTATGAATTTGATAAAAGATCAATTATTATGTAATGAAAATTGACTGCACAAATAAAAGTTTAAACACAGGTGACTGCCAATATCAGGTTGAAAACTTTTGACCTCTTTATGTCTTTTGGTTGCTGTCTGAGTTATGTATACCTGACATCTCTTTTTATTTGTATATGTAATTTTGAAGTGTGCAAAAGATACTGAGAATATGTCATAATTTTTTTCACATTTTTATGTTTTGAACATAGATGTGTAAAGGAGATGGTAGCATTAGGATGTCAGGAGATGAAGATAATATATTATTACTTAGTCAGCTGAAACAAGCCAATCCAGAAAAATTTAAAAGGTAAACTTGAAGGTTTCAGTCAAATGATAGATGATCTATTTTTATCAAGCCTGCGACTTCTGTCGCAGAAAGCAAAACATAGGGATAGTGATTCAGGGGCCACGTTAACAAGCTTCTTAGAAAGCTTAATACTTTCGGAAGGAAGAAGACCTGGATCCTTCATACTTTGTATAAAGGTGCCTTATTATATGAAGTTTCCGTCTGTCATATGTCCATTGTCCTTGACCTCATTTTCATTATTCAGTGACTACTTGAAAAAAAGTTATGATTTTTAGTATTTTTAATTTCTCTCTTATTATGAGTAATAGGATAACTATATTTGGTATGTGCGTACCTTGCAAGGTCCTCATGTCTGTCAAACAATTTTCATTTGACCTCAACCTCATTTCATGGATCAGTGAACAAGTTCAAGTCCATATCTCAGATACTATAAGTAATAGGTCTACTATATTTGGTGTATGGAATGATCGTAAGGTGTACACGTCCAACTGGCAGGTGTCATCTGACCTTGACCTCATTTTCTAAAGTTTTTTTGCGGTCGTATATTGGTATGACGTTGGTGTCATCTCCGGCGGCGTCGTCGTCGTCTGAAGACACATTGTTTTTCGCACTCTAACTTTAGTTTAAGTGAATGGATCTCTATGAAATTTTACCATAAGGTTCAATACCACAAAAGGAAGGTTGGGATTGAATTTGGGGGTTATGGTACCAACAGTTAAGGAATTAGGGGCCAAAAATAAGCATTTTTCTAGTTTCAGGACAATATCTTGTGTGTAAGTGTATGGATCTTTCTGGAATTGTACTACAAGGTTCCATATCACAAAGGGAAAGCTGGAATTGAGTTTGGGGGTAATTGCCCAAAACATTTAGGAATAAGTGGCCAAAAGGGGCCAAAAATAAACATTTTTCTAGTTTCCAGACAATAACTTCTGTTCAAGTGTATGGATCTCTCTGAAATTGTACTGCAAGGTATCATAGGCTGGGATTGATTTTGGGGGTAACTGCCTCAAAATTTTAGGAATTAGGGGCCAATAAGGGCCAAAAAACAAACATTTTTCTGGTTTCAGAACAATAACTTATGTGTAAGTGTATGGATCTTTATGAAATTGTACTACAAGGTTCCATATCACAAAGGGAAAGCTGGGTTTGAGTTTTGAGGTAATTGCCCTAAACGTTTAGGAATTTGGGGCCAAAAAGGGGCCTAAAAACAAGCATTTTTCTAGTTTCCAGACAATAACTTGTGTTCAAGTGTATGGATCTCTCTGAAATTGTACTACAAGATACCATACCAGAAAGGGAAGGCTGGGATTGAGTTTGGGGGTGATGAATCATAAGGGGGTTCAAAAAATTTGGGGGAGGAATTTTTTTTTCCTTTTTTTTTCTTTAAAATTTTCCATTTTAAATTGGTTATTTCTGATTTATATATAAAAGCAAATAATAATGATATGGTTTGAAAAGGTAAATTAAAAAATTTTAAGTTCTTAGACCACATTCATTCTGTGTCAGAAACCTATGCTGTGTCAAATATTTAATCACAATCCAAATTCAGTGCTGTATCAAGCTTGAATGTTGTGTCCATACTTGCCCCAATTGTTCAGGGTTCGACCTCTGCGGTCGTATCAAGCTGCGCCCAGCGGAGCATTTTATTGTGTTTTGGCCTGTTTTTCAAATACTGTATTCAATAGGTCAACTATATTTGGTGTATGGAATGATTGTGTACATGTCTGTCTGGCAGGTATAATCTGACCTTGACCTCATTTTCATGGTTCATTGGTCAATGTTAAGCTTATTTTGTTTTGGTCTTTTTATGCCCCAGCCGTAGCGGTGGGGGCATTAAGTTTTACCCTTGTCCGTCCGTACGTCCCATAATTGGTTTCCCTTCTCTAACTTGAGTTTGCCTCAACCAAATGTTATGAAACTTATACACAATGCTTATTACCACAAAACACAGATCAAGTTTGAATTTTGGTGGCGTCACTTTAATCGTTCTAGAGTTATGCCCCTTTATAAATGGAAAAATTGCAAAATGTTTAGTTTCCGTTCTCTAACTTAAGTTTGCCTCAACCAAATGTTATGAAACTTATATACAATGCTTATTACCACAAAACACAGATCAAGTTTGAATTTTGGTGGCGTCACTTCAACTGTTCTAGAGTTATGCCCCTTTATAAATGGAAAAATTGCAAAATTTTTATTTTCTTCTAAATATCAAGTTATTTTTAAAATTGGAGTTATCTTCCTTTGTCCATGATTATAGTTGAATCAACTACAATCAATGCTTTATACAATGCAATGTTTAATTTTGACTTCCACAGATAAAACACAGATCAAGTTGAATTTGGGTAGTGTCACTTTAACCATTATTGAGTTATGCCCCTCTATAAATCGAAAAATTGCAAAATTCTGTAACTTAAGTTTGCCTCGACCAAACATTATGAAACCTATACACAATATTCATTACCACAAAACTAAGATCAAGTACAAATTTTTTGTTTCCGTTTTCTAACTTTAGTTTGCCTCAACCAAATGTTATGAAACTTATACACAATGCTTATTACTACATAATACAGATTAAGTACGAAATTTGGTGGCGACACTTTTACCATTCTTGAGTTATGTCCCTTTATAAACATAAAAATTGCTGAATTTTTCGTTTCTGTTCTCTAACTTTAGTTTGTCTCAACCAAATGTTATAAAACTTATACACAACTGTTCTAGAGTTATGCGTGTTTACAAATAGAAAAATTGCTGAATTTTTAGTTTCTGTTCTCTACTTAAGTTAGCCCCAACCAAATGTTATGAGACTTACACACAATGCTTATTACCACAAAATTTTTGGGTAGCATCACTTTTACCGTTCTTCAGTTATGTCCCTTTATAACTATATGATATGCAAGCGGGGGCATCATCTGTGTCCACATGTGGACACTATCCACATTTATTTTCAAATATCATAAGCAATAGGTCAACTATATTTTGTGTAAAAGAAAATTGTAGGGTGTATATTTTTGTCTGACAGGATTTATCTGACCTGAGTTTCTGTGATGCTTTTAATAAAACCTTTATCTTTTAAGACTTTCAACATAAAATCAATGGTCAGTAAAGCAGGCGAGACATTTCAGTGTATGCACTCTTGTTTTATTTAACCTTTGTACTGAAATAGATCATTTTCATGTTCTGAAATCTTATTAGACTAAAATTAAGTTTGCTAGTAAAGCGTTTCACTTTCTGCAATGGGGGACAAATTGGTAATTTATGTACTATACTTAAATACCACAAAAATGGGAAAAAATGGAACTCCAGCAATAACAAAACACTATGTAGAAATATATATTCATACACTTTCAATCAGTAACCACACGTAACGGAAAATACCCAAAATATGCAGTGAATATTTTGCCGGTTGACTTTTAGCAGAATACATTTAATTTATTTTAAGGTTACAGGAAAGATTTATCAAGCCATCTAGTTCTGGAGGTCCTTGTCCAGAACCATCATTTCCAGGTTGTCAAGAATTCTTCCATAAATTCATAGTAGCTGCATCATGTCCTGTGTTTAATCAGCATCTTACCAATACTTTTGTAGGGAAAGTTTCTGAGGTAAGAATAAGTAGACTCGCCCCAATATTCATAGGGAGAGTCTTAGGTGTAGGGTTAGTAAATTGTTGCAGGAGATATTTTTGGTAGTTAAAAGTTTAAAAGGTAAAAAAAGATCAGTATCATACAAATGGGTATTAGGAAATTATTTGATTGGTCTGTGTAGTTGGTGAACATCTACCTGCTGATGATTTCAGCCTACCATCAGTGTGGTTAAGTTCTCATCTCACTCCAGTCACTTTCACATATGACAAGGTTTACTTAGTCTGAGAGTTCCTTATTTAATCAATTACTGCAGTTTGGTGTCCTACACCCATTCAAGTACATAAAACATATTCATTTTTTGGAAAGTTTGGTATGGCTTGCTATAGCAATATACTTTCCTAAGGCATCAGCCTCAAACCGGAAGTTGGACAGACCATCGCAAATGTTCTACTCCTAGATAATGTAGTACTAGTGTTTGAATACTAATTCTAAGAAGATGCTTTTGAAATTTTGAGTTACTTCTATTTTGATTAGCTTACAGCTTGAATTAAAATGTACTGAATGTTCATCGATAATTCAAATGAATTCAACTTCATTTTGAAAATGGCTATCACAAACACTACTTCGCGGATCTGCGCTGCGCGGAAATTAAAATCAATACACATCTACACGAGACAGCAGTTTCTATGTTATGCTTTTATCGGTATTCCCAAGACATGATTTCAAGAAGATTTGAATGACATTCAGGGTTAATCCCTAGACATCACTTACGCATATCACTTTACTAGACCAAACCAATTTGTACTGGACTTTGCCCAATGTCAGGCGACCATGGGAATGACTAATTATTGGAGCTTTGTTTGGGAGACTTCGTAACAGCATTCTGTTACAATTATTTCTTGTATTAAGTAAACATTTTTAGAAGTCGGAAAAAACCGTTAACCACACAATCTACTAATCGTAGTTCGAGTTTGTTCAATATATAACAATTCAAACAAGAAAACTAACTGCTTAATTAGTAATAATACAATTTACTACAAACAAATATGAAAGACCTTAATCAATAAAAAATACTTAATCACGGGCCCTTTACATGCGATGGGCACAGAAAGAAATTAACAGAGCTTGCTGTATATTTGATTATTTTAAATCTACAGTTTAAGGTTGCAATAGAAATTATCAAAATTTTACATGACAAACACATGAAAAAAGTGATTTTTGATAATTGCTGATGAGACAATGGTTTAGGGAAAAACACCAAAGCTGTGATTAAATACATATTTGAAATAATACACATCTACAACCTATTTGAAATAATACACATCTACAACCTATCTGAAGTAATACACATCTACAACCTATTTGAAATAATACACATCTACAACCTATTTGTTGTAATACACATCTACAACCTATTCGAAATAATACACATCTACAACCTATTTGAAATAATACACATCTACCGTTGCAAACTTTCCACAGGTGCTATCCAGCACTTTTGATTTTTGTTGAATTTGAAGTATCATATGACTTCAAGAAATAATTTGTTAAAAATGTACATAATGTTTCATGAACTTTTAAATATAATGGCTGAAAATGTTAAAATATGTAACAAATTTTTCATAAATAATTTGATGCAAAAATTAATGTATCATCAACTATTTAGTTAAACAGTACAGATTTTGAGTCCAATTTGTCGGAGGAAACAGAAACAGAGCAAGAATCTGATGAGGTAATGTTAACATTAAACTTGGTATGTTGTAAAACAATATCGTGTATGCTCCATATTCTAGAGAGAAATACATATTAATGGTTGACATGTAAGCACTATTTCAGGAAGTCATACTTTAAGGGTTAAAATGTAAGAAAATGAGTCAGAAAAGAAACAAATAAAGGCATAGAACAAACCTGTTACATTGCTTTGTAAAAATGTATTTTTTTACCTTATGCATTTTTAACAGGAAAAAAAACTTAATGGATTTTATTTTCCTTTCAGGACCAGAAAGAGAAGTTTATATCTATTTTACTTACACTAAGACTGGTAGGCAAGTTTCTAGGCTTTGTGACATTTCTACCATACAAGAACACATCTAAACTACCTGATGACACTGAAGCAGCTTATATGGCACTCAGGAAACATGTAAGTTGTTCATCTGAAACCTTGTAAGAAGATTGAGTTTTTGATGTAATGCTTTGAAAGATATTTAATATATAAAATATATTTGTAATGTTAATTGAATAATTCAGTATAATGACAAATTTGTATTTAGGTTTTGACCTTGACTAAAATTGTTTTGCTATCTACCTTAGAAAGGCTTGTATAGTTCGCACTGGTACATAGTCCGCACCCCCTTCTCCCCACGAAATTTTAGGTAAAAAAACTTTTTGTAACTGTTAGAAAAGGTCTAATGAAACTCCGGTAATTTCAAATCCTGTGAGGTCCTTTGCTGTATTTTCTTGGAAAAACCTGTTTTCCATCATCAAACAGAAGCTGAAACTGCTTGTAAATGATTCTAGAACGCTTCATGATTGTTAAAATAAGTTTAATTCACTTAAAAAACAATTTAGAAACTTGTGTATGTTTAAACAGGAAGTTTAAAAAGCACGTGTAAAAGAAGAAATTAACTGGTGAGAGTCGAAATCCGTACATAACAGATATCACTATAATACGACTTTGAAAGTAAAACAGTTCCATCCTTTTGTAAAACAGTCTTTAATATATCTATCACATTAATGTTTGAAGGGTCTTAAGCTAATACAAACCATATTAGTCAGTATGAAACACCAAAACGGAACGAACAATAACCGATTACGTTTTGTAGTTTACAAATTCTAAGCTGGTTTACGGTTGTCTTTTTCACTTTGTTTGTATCGTTTCAATCAAGCAGATACCAGTTTATTTCAACCAATGCATTGAAAAGAAACGAGAAATTTGTAATGAAAGGTTTAGTTTTTATATTTATCAGTATTAATTTGATATTGAATAGAAATAACTTATTAATATGGATGAGTTAAAATTATTAGTTTGAAAAATGATAAGAGCGCCCTCTACAATATAAATAACAAAGATGGCGGAACGTAAACAAACCACCTCGCCCCCGAAATTGAAATTTTTCTCTTATTTCTTGCTTATTGTACTCTATAGTCCGCACCCCGTCTGGAAGGTCCAATTTTGGAGAATAAAAACCGTGGACTATACAAGCCTCTCTACGGTATAACACTTATGCCCCACCTAGGGGCATTATGTTTTTCAGTCTGTGTGTCCGTTTGTCCGTCCTTCCATTCGTCCTTCTGTCCAGCTTCAGGTTAAAGTTTTTGGTTCTTCAGGTTAAAGTTTTTGGTCAAGGTAGTTTTTGATGAAGTTGAAGTCCAATCAACTTGAAACTTAGTACACATGTTCCCTATGATATGATCTTTCTAATTTTAATGCCAAATTAGAGTTTTGACCCCAATTTCACAGTCCACTGTCCATAGAAAATGATAGTGCAAGTGGGGCATCCGTGTACTATGGACACATTCTTGTTAAAATATATTATTATACAGCCTCTGTAGTTGCATGGTGTCCTTGAATGCATGAGGTCATTTCTTCGCTTCATTATAATTTGTATTAGATGCTTCTCTGCTGAGCACAGTGCATTTAGGAGTAAGAGCAATGACTGGTTGACAAAATAAAGTGTACGAGAGAAGTGACATGTCTTCTAGCTGACTATTACCATGTGAACTAGCACGTTAAAAATCTTACTCAGCTTGTCAATTTAGTACAAAGCTGGGTTCATATTCATAACACATTAACACATATTCATGTAATACTTGACACTGGCCATTAAAACACCAATCCATCATCATATATGTTAGTGAAAATATAGACCTATGGTTTAATTCATTTTTTTATAAGATGCTGACTGAAAATCATTCTTATTTCTTAACTGTATGCAAGCTTTTTCTTTCTTATTTTAGGAACATCCACCAATAGATTTGCATGAATGTTTACGTGTTGCAGTTTATATGCGACATCTAACATTAACAGTTCCATGGATAGTAGAGTTCCTTAGTATGATGGATTTAATGGCCCCTAATCTGGACTATTATCAACTTGTACTTTGTATGTTATTGTTTATACACAGGTAATTAGTGATATCAAAGTATGTACTATATAGCAGTTCACAAAATTTCTTTTTTTATTCAGATGTTGAGAAGTTGTTTTTTTATACGTTTAGGTATTTCACATCCCATCTTTTATGGTAATATTGTATCCAAAGCACAAAAATGTTGTCATTCACCTCAAAAGCTAACCAAACCTTTAAACATACTTGTTAAGAAGGGATATAGTTACGATACTGTTGTCAGTTCATTAAAGATGGCATTTTTGGAATTAATATTGATTCACTCATAGGGTCTTTGCATCAGAAATAAACACATTTATTCTAAAACCAGTTGTTGGCATGATACAAGGTTAAGTTCTTCTCATATATTTTATGATGGTATGATTTTTAACCCCTAACGGGAGGGATTGTGCTTGATTTTCATATGATGAAGACATAATCTTTCAATCAGTTTAATTGAGGTCTGTAGCTGGCATGTCAGTAACTGCTAGTAGTCCTTTGTTAATTTATGTTGATCATTGTCATTTTGCTTAGTTTCTTCTGTTACCTATTCTAACATCGGACTCAGACTTCTTTTGAACAAAGTTTTACTGTGCGTATTGTTGCGTGTTTGTTTATTCCTCATTGGCTAGAGGTATAGGGGGAGGGTTGAGATCTCACAAAACATGTTTAACCCTGCCACATTTTTGCTGCTGTCCCAAGTCAGGAACCTCTGGCCTTTGTTAGTCTTGTTATGTTTTTTTAATTTTGGTTCATTTATATGTTTCTGAGTTTAGTGTGACGTTCATTTTTGCTGAACTAGTATACATTATTGTTTAGGGGCCTGCTGAAGCCCACCTCCAGGTGTGGGATTTTCTCGCTGTGTTGAAGATCCATTGGGTGGCCTTGGGTTGTTGTCTCTTTGACACATTCCCCGTTTCCATTCTCAATTTTATTCATTTGAGAGACCTAGTTTTTATTTAGCTTTTTGTCATACAAAAATGTATACTGTACATCTGATGGCAAATATTTCATTCATTTTCGGTACAAGTGTGTAAAAAAGAAAGATTAATTTTTCCTTTCATTAGGACACCTATAAACTCCTGAAGAGTGGGTAGAGATCACAGACCATGGTGACTGATTGTACATTTTATGAAAATTATTTAGAAAAATATTTATGATTGATTGTTGTTTGTATTGTCCAGCTGCATTTATTATATAAACATTCAGGATAATTAGAAATAAACGACTGTCTTGATCAACCATGAATGATTTAAGTATATCTGGAAAAACTTACCAACTGTATTGATATAATGTGTATATTTTGTGTAAATTTGGCAATAAATGACTGACCATAATGATAGATTGTGTATATTTCAGGTTTATGTGGGAAGAGATGACCAGCAGTAATACATATTACAGTCATATACTAGTCATTACAATGATCAGCTGGTTATTGGAGGTAAGACATCAGATCTCAATATCATTTAGAGTCTTATTCAGGTTATTGGAGGTAAGACATCAGATCTCAATATAATTTAGAGTCTTATTCAGGTTATTGGAGGTAAGACATCAGATCTCAATATCATATAGAGTCTTATTCAGGTTATTGGAGGTAAGACATCAGATCTCAATATAATTTAGAGTCTTATTCAGGTTATTGGAGGTAAGACATCAGATCTCAATATGATTTAGAGTCTTATTCAGGTTATTGGAGGTAAGACATCAGATCTCAATAAGCAAACCAAACCTTTAATTTACTAGAATTAAGATAACAGCTGTAAAGTCTTATTCTGGTTTGTCAAGTTACTTATTTTGTTTTTTATGTGATCACGAGTACATGCATCATTGTTTATTTAAAGTCATTTCCTTAAATTGTCTTGAATACAGGTTAGTGTTTTAATACTATTTAGGGTCTTACTGGCTTAGTAGTCTTTCAGTAGTCCAACTACTGTATCACTAGCCTGTCAACACTGAGGCTGTGAGTTCCAACCTGACGTGGCAGTTGATCCAACTCCGATTCTTAATTGACAAGGATTGTCAGTTTTCCTACCGAAGGTTGTGGTTCTATCTGGGCACTCAGGCCTTTTCCACCGATATAAACTGACGGCCAAGAAATAGCCAATAGTGTTGAAAGTGGCATTTAACATCAATCAATCAATCAATCAATGATAATATTTGTTTTTGGTTTTCACTTACAGAATGCTGTGATACCAGAAGGATACTTCTTCTCTGACATACCAGAAAGTGTTCAGTCTATACTTAGTCAATCAGCGAAGAAGTCTGATCAAACATTGGTAAGTTCTTTTATTTCATACATACTAAAAAATGTTAAGACTGCTGTTGTGAGTCATCAATAAAGTCCGATAAAGACATTAGGAGTCAGATAAAGACATTTGGAGTCAGATAAAGACATTTGGAAATTCTACTGTAAACATGGATTTTTTTCACACATCACATTTTCAATACATAAACCTTTTGTTCATCTAGGTTAAGCTAGCATATCAAATGGTAATTGCACCTTCACATGTGTAGGGTTGATCTGTACAAACTATTTGTGGGTAGGGGGTTATGTTAGAACATTCAATGTGATTGTAAAATAGGCAAAAATATCCCATGTGCAAAAATTTCCTTGAAACAGTATCTCAAATTCAGTTTTGAAATTCTGAAAACTAATTTTTCTAATTGCATTACTTGAAAAGTTAATACGAGTCAAAACTTATTTACAAGTCTTCACATGCCTGTTGATACCAATAAGTTTTAAGATTCAAATTTTTGTTTGATTCAATTCCTTGCAGGTAATGCATGAGAGGAAATGTACGGGTTTATAAATATGAGTATGAGAAATTAATCATGTGACAAAGTATGTTTATTTTTGTAGGATACCATGGGATTTATTGACCAAAAGTTATATTACACATGTTGCCCTTATGTTGGTGAGTTTACATATATCAAATAGTGTAAATAATGCTGTAACACACTGAGCATGGACTTTTTTCCAAAGAAGAAGCTCGTGGCACTACAATGTTTGGTTTTTACTAGAATACAAAGGGCCATATGTATTTTTTTTTTTATATTGTTCAATTTGTCCCTAGGTTTACAATAAAAGTAAAAGTTCAAATTCAAAGTTGTTTAATTTTATCATATCTAGTTGCACAATCATATTAGTTCTCTTGTCAGAAAAAAACAATTAAATATCTAGCAATAATAAAAAAGATTTTTTTTTTATATCAAAAATGAAAAGAAAAGTTATATCAATTAAAATTCAATTAAAAATGTACTCTGTTATCATGTTTATGAAATTCAGTGTTTCTCATGAAAAAGATTTTTAAGTTAAGCTAATGGACATAGTATAATAGTCCCAGAGTTGAGCAATTTTAATTAATAAACTGAAACAATGCATATACATTGAAATATATACATTTATCAAGTAGATCTAACCAAAAGTATATTAATGCGCGTGAAATGAGTAATTTTTCCTTTTGGGATCAATATTCTTCTGTCAGCTGTGCCATTCATGCGTCCGTAGTCATTATCGTGAGAATCAGGATTTCGATCATAGCTGGTCTAGTTCGGACTTCGATCAGTAGTTCTTACAATATTTCAATGGCCGACGAAGAAAATATACAAAAATAAACGATGTTTGACACGCTATTTGGAAAGGAATATGACGTTTTTAATGCAATACATGGATAACAAATGTACTTAAGTCAAATTTCATCACGTTTTAATGAAGAAACAAACTTATTTTGCCGAAAGTTAGAATGATCTGATGTACATTCTTGAGTAACAAGTACCAGAAGTGATAAAAAATTGTCTTTATGAAATAACATGCAATTAACTTTAAAATCAATGCTTTAACCTCTTTTCTGAAGTAAATTAATTGCTTATGTCTTTGAATTTCTTTACTTTTAAATGAAAAATTGCTGTTTCATCGACTAAAAATTGAATATTGCCAATAACGAAAGCAACTGAAAGCGAGTATCGTGAACAACAGGGCGACTAGATTTCGCTTTTGACGGTCGGGCAAAGCGAAGTGACAGTAAAGTTGTAGATTACACTTTATCAAAATGCAAGTTTTTCAGTCCCAATAAACTTGAAAATTTGTATATGCCTGAAACAAGTACATTATTTTGTGGGAACTTATCAAATACAGATGAGGGGCCTCGGTGGCAGAGTGGTCTAAGTAGTTACTACTGTAATCACTAGCCAGTCAACACTGAGGTTGTGAGTTCGAACCCCGCTCGTGCGGGTGCACTCAACTCCAATCTTAATTGACTAGGATTGTCAGTTTTTCTATCGAAGGTTGTGGTTTTCTCGGGGCACTCCGGCTTCCTTCACCAATAAAAACTGGCCGCCACGAAATAGCCCAAAAGCAGAGCTTAAAAGTGGCGTTAAAACACCAAAATTCAAATCAAAATCAAAATCAAATACAGATGTATTATGATATACCATTATCCATCTGTCAATTTATTTGTCCATCTGAGTATATCTTTAATATATACTTTATTATCTTTACAAAAAGTTTTATGAAAAAATATTTTATGAAGACGAGATCCGTTTCAATTCTTATGATTTTTAACTGGATTTCCAAAGGAAAATATTGGTTATTAATTTGGTGATGTACAGCGGGTGGGCAGCTGCCGAACAGTGTCTGTGCAGTAATTTGAAAACTCTATGACAAAATCTTTTAAAATTTGATATGTTGTTTCCTGTGACTAAATGAAGGTCATTTGAGCTTTTATGATTGTTGAGTTGTAGACCTTGCTGTATCATGCTTGATTTGAACAGCTTGTTATTGGTATTATATGCAGATATATGATGTACAATTAGACTTAGAACTGTGTAATATATTTCATCGTTTTATAGGTGAAATAAAGACATTATTGGTAGAGTACACAATAGGATCAAGTAATAAAACAGCAACCATTAGGAAAATAACACCAGTATCTGCCGAAACAGAGACACCACAGTCTGTTACTGATAGACAGATACAGGTAAAATATTTAACTTCCAATGGATTACAGATAAACCTTTTATCCGTTGTTATTGATCAGAGGAGATGGGCTTTTGTTGGCCCTGATTTGCATATTTATAAAGTAAATATTTGGGAAAATGTATTCACTATAAGATGGGATGATATTAATTTCTGAGAACAGTGGATATCTTTGAACTGTGATGGTGTACTAAAATAGCATAAAATTGTTTTATATATAACTCCTGTGATGTTGATACATGATGTTAAAATCAGTTTGAACATGTTAATATAACCTTCATTATTTGTTGTACAGCTTCAGTTAGAAGAAAACTTTTTCCACAACCATCCTGCCTCAATGAAGAGAATTGTAGACTTTGTAGCAGAAAGGACAGCATCAAACTTCATAAAGAAATTTAGATCTGCTGCTTTACAGAAATCAATAGCAACCTGTAGAATAGCACTTCAGAAATTAATGGAATCTTATGCTAGTTGCTCTCCTAGTAGCAAGGCTAAGGTAAATACTAGATAATATTAGAAATATTTGTTCTGTTTATGGATTCATTCACTTTTTTTAGCATTCAATAGGTCTGACATGCAGACCCATTCCCAATGACAAAAACAATGTTTTTAAGCTCACCTGACCCAAAAGCATCATGATGATGGATGGCTGTTGAACATTTTGCTCAAAGGACCATTGTCAGCTTTTGACATCACTTAAGATCTTTAAAATTAAAAAAAAGAATGGACTCCTAAATCAACTAGAAATAAAGTTGACTGGCATCATCCTTTGAATGTTCACTTCAGAAGTTGGTGTCCGATATCACATCATCGAACCAACATGGTTGCCAAAAAAAAAAGAATTCAATAAAACAAAATCTGATAGACCAATTTTCCAAACTGTTGATGTATATAATAACTCTGGATTCATTTTCATATTTATTTTCTTGGATACCAATTCTAGTGGATTGAGGAAAAATTGTATTTTGTGAATAATTGATTTTGTGGTTTAGTCAAATTCTTGGTACAAGCCTTAAGAAAATCTATACTTTGTTGTACATTTGAATTTATGGTATACTTTTGCCAACAAAACAAAAAAAAACGCATAATAACAATGAATCCGCAATATCATTTTCAAGAATTATGATTGACCTGCCGGAGAAAATTGAAATTTGAGTAAATAGAAAACAAAAATCACCCTGAAAATCACTCTGAAAACAAAAATCACCCTGAAAATCACTCTGAAAACAAAAATTACCCATAAATAAAATATTATTTATATCATTGAAGACTGCATAGTTACCTCTAGATGTATGTTATTTTGTCTTGATTGCTTGGTTGTTGTCTATGTGATAATTATTCCAAATATCTTTTTATTCAATTTTACAGGATAAACATCTGCAAGACATTGTAAAACTGTCTCAGGAATCTGTGAGCCAGCTTAAATCTGCTACATTTGAAGATGCAAGCAGGTTTGTATATATAAATTGGAAGAAGAAGCTTTTACAGTATTAAATGAAATGTTCTTTAGAAATATCAGTTAATAATATAAAGCAATTTACTTTTTATTCAGGAAGAGAAAATAAGTGAATGTATACAAAATTAGATTAAAAAAAAGGATAAAAACATGATAAATCATCATAAGCTTTGGGACAGAAAAAATTCTATGAAATTAAATGTTGCTGTAGATATATACACAAACATATAAGATAAAGACTTGGATCTCTAAGTGACTGGCTACTTAAAAAAAAAAAAAAAAAAACAACTGAAATAGATCCCAATGTAAGAAATTTTAATGGCTGCAAATTTCTTTGATTTTAGGTTTTGCAAAATTAAAGTTGAAGCCATCCTACCATTACTTCTACCAGAGGAGCAAACAAAAGCTGTTAAAGCCATGTCAGTAGACATCTCCAGGAGACTGGCCGAGGAGAGGATCAGTCAATGGATTAACAAACACATCACAGCAAGTAAGTCTGCCATGGCTGTTACATATGTCTAGTTGACTTGTTGAAAAAAGGATCAGTCAGTGAATAAATAGGAGGCCTTCTTGAATAAACACATAATTGTTAGTTGCATCAATTAAAGAGTCATTAACAGCTAATATCATATCTCAGTAGACTGGCTCTTAGGGCTTGCTGAAATGAAAAATTTACAATGAGCAAGTCATTTCAATAGTCAACCAGTACAAATCAGTGATTTTTGTCATTTTTTACATTGGGGGCACTACAGGCAATAATATTCACAATTTTAGGTATCCTGTCATGAATTGGTCCTATGATATTGACTGAGGTTGTATCATAAGTGACCTAAGCAATAAAAAAAATGTTTATGTGTTGGTATGGGGTTTTACCATCAATTAATAGAAAAATTAAGAACACTTTAGTTTGTAATACAAAAAGTATTCTATTGGATATAAGTAGATATGGGGTTTACTTCAATGAACAACTGAGGTGTTAATTTTAGATTCCTTTACACTATTCTGGACAGTAAAATTTATTGTGCAAATCAATAAGTATATAACCTTGTAGCTGGTGCTTAGAAATATATAGCAAACAGGGAGTAAAACAAGATAAAAACTGAAATAAAGCCTAAATAATATATATATAGTTATTCTTATAGAAGAGTGCACTCAACTAAAGTACCTGCACCAAATGTTATGTATTTTAAAAGGTAATAATTTCTGGGTAAGACATTTAAATGAGATTTGTAATGTTTTCAATTTGGTTTTCAGATATGTACCAGAATGATTTACATACAGAGTATGATAAAATTCTCAAAAGAATCACAAACCCAAGTGAGTCCTGTCAGGCAGAACCAGTCAAGGAACCAGATTTTATATCAGTTGCTAAGCAGCATGATGATAATGTCAGACATCCTTCAGAAGTTTTAATTGATTTAAAAGTAAGATCTTCAACTTAATAAGTCTCATTATTTCTGCAAAAATCATGAGTAAATTGTATTTAATTGAAAGGACATTGGTTTTTATTGTAATTTTTACGAAATAAATCTTCCCTCCTGTTCACATTAATTGAATAACTTAATACAATTCTAATGCAATTTATAAATGTATGGAACAGTTGGATAGGCTCTTAAACTTTATCTAGGGATATTCTTATTTGGGAATTATTTGTGAATTTAAAGGCTAGTTATGTGTATGGATGAAATCCAGTAGTACACAGATATTTTGATTAGTGAACTTTTTAGTGTTGGTAAGATGTAAAAAAATAGTTTTTGAACAAAACTCAAAATTATATTTTTGTTTGGATGGAGTAGTGATTGTCTCCTCTATTGGTGTCTGCAAGCTAATGCGATGTCATTTCATTCATAATGCCTTAGTAAGAATCTCTTACCAACTTCAGTTTGAAATCACAGAGATATATTACATGATAACAGTATAGTTTGAAAAGAATCTAATGCGATGCATTTATGAATGACAGTGCACTGCTATGCTGGAAGCCAGTCTTGTGCTATCACAGTAGACCTGGTTAACTTTTTCAAAACTTCCACTGAAAATAGTTGTTATTTTTTAGGAAGTTGTTAGAGAATTGTTTGTTAAAGGATGTCATGTTGAATGGAATAAGATATCATTAACGCTGATGGAAGTCAAAGATATCATCAATAATAGACAGGTATAAATATAATTTGCTATAAAGGCTTGTAAGTACTAATTTGTTCCTTCTATATATTACATTCAGACTACTGTATTGCTAATAAAAACACAGTAAGTTTGTAATTCAGTTCATGTTATTATATTTGAACATTAAAGGCCGAATCTCCTATGGATTTTATTCACCCTCTATGGTCCGTAGGGGTCAGTAGTGAACCGTATAACGAATTTATCGCACGCAGGACTTTTTCTGTTGCGTTTTGTAGAAAAATAAGCAATGAAACACAACAACATTATTAGATGACATCACCATTAACAGTAGACGTGACGTCATGAACCCCTATGAAATTTACTAACCCCCTACGAATCCATAGGGGGTCACCACGTGACGGTGTTAAACCAATCACAACGTGATAATTTACCCGCGGTGCGATAAATTGTGTTAGTGTGAAGTTATATATGTGCAAATTACTACAGAGGTTTATATGTATATTGTCAGTTGTGTAACATCTATAAATAATTCACATACATTAATCTGGTAATATTATTGTCTCACCTGCGACGAAAGTCACAGTATGCGAGACATAGGTATTACTATTTGGCAGCGGCGGCATAAACTATTTGTATAAAGCTTTATATTTCAGTAGGTAGAAGACCTGGATGCTTCATATCTTGTATGCAGATACCTCATGTTACGAAGTTTCCGTCTGCCATATGCCCATTGTCCTTGACCTCATTTTCATGGTTCAGCGACTGCTTGAAAAAAAAATTACAGTTTTTTGTCATGTGAATTTCTCACTTCTTATGAGTAATACATAATAGGACAACTATATTTGGTATATGGGTTCCCTGCAACGTCTACATGTCTGTCAGACAGGGTTAACATGGCCTCGACCTCAATACATGGATCAGTGATCAAGGTTAAAGTTATATGATTAGGTCCGTTTCTCAGATACTACAAGCAGCAGGTCTACTATATGTGGTGTATGGAATGATTGTAAGGGGTACATGCCAGGCTGGCAGGTTTCTTCTGACATTGACCTCATTTTCATGGTTCATTGGTCATTGATAATTTTTTGTGTTTTGGTCTGTTTTTCAAGTATTGTAAGGAATAGGTCAACTATATTTGGTTAAAGGAATGATTGTAAGGGGTAAATGTCAGGCTGACAGGTTTCATCTGACCTTGACCTCATTTCCGTGGTTCATTGGTCATTGTTAATTTTTTGTGTTTCGGTCTGTTTTTCAAGTACTGTGAGCAATAGGTCAACTATATTTGGTTTATGGAATGATTATAAGGTGTACATGTTTGTCTAGCCAGTGTCATCTGACCTTGACATCATTTTCATGGTTCATTGGTCAATGTTAAGTTTTTGTGTTTTGGTCTGTTTTTCAAATACTAATATCGACAAGTCAGCTATAATTGGTGTATGGAATGATTGTTAGTATGTACATGTCTGTCTAGCCAGTATCATCTGACATTGACCTCATTTTCATGGTTCATTGGTTAACGTTAAGTTTTGTGTTTTGGTCTGTTATTTAATTATTATAAGCAATGGGTCAACTATATTTGGTGTATGGAATGATTGTAAGGTGTACATGTCTGTTTGACATTTTTTATCTGATCTTGACCTCATTGTCTTGTATCTTTAAAAATGTTAAGTTTATGTGATACTTGTAGTAAAACCTTTATCTTTAAGACTTTCAACTTAAAATCAATGGTCAGTAAAACAGGCAAGACAAGAAAAATATCAAATAAACATCATGGGACATGTCTTAAAACATAAATTATACACAATTTAACATAAAAGACATGTTGCTTAATAGGCAAGGAATGAGTTCATATGTCAGTACATTTTTATCAGCAACTCAAATTAAACTAGTGACTTGATTTCACTGTAATTTTTTATTAATCTTTAGTATCTAATCATGTTGTCTGTCTCTTGTTTCATATTTTTTTACTCTATAACTTGACTCTTTGAGGGGGAGGGAGTGAATCAGAAATTACTTTAAATGCAGATATTGTAAAAATTAATCTAGCGAAAAATATTGTTGTAACAAACATTTGAGGTGCATGAAACAATGACTTGTGAATTTCATTCTTAATGACCAATTTTATTTGTCCCAATGAATAACTCGTAGCTAGATTTGTATTTCCTCCTGACTAGTTTGATATTTATTATACCCCATGCAAATTTTTTGCGAAGGGTATAATGTTTTTGAACCGTCCGTCTGTCCGTCCGTCAGTCCTGTTTCTTGTCATTGCAACTCCTCTCAAACCACACAACAGAATTTCATGAACCTTTTTAGATAATAAGGACATACTATGCAGATGTGCATATCGACAGGAAATTACGATTCAATTTTTTTTGTAGGAGTTACGCCCCTTTGAACTTATTTGCTTCAATATACTACTGTAACAGTTTGTCATTGCTACTCCTCTGAAACCACACAACAGAATTTCACGAAACTTTGTAGATAATAAGGACATACTATGTAGATGTGCATATCAACAGGAAATTATGATTCAATTTTTTTTTCTTATACATTTTTTTTTCTTACAGTTATTTTTTTTCTTCAGTGACAATGTGGGGACGTGGGGTATGTGAGCGCGCTCACTAAGGTTCTTTAATTTACTTATAAGATTACTATTTTCAAACAGGATGTTATACCCAGTATATATAACTGTTTGGGAAGACTGGTATTTGATTTGGCAGTTTCATTAGGTAAGATTTGATATTTTATAATTGTATTATCTAACTAATTTAGTCAGGTCTGAACAGAAATGCTACATTTGCAGAAGGAATATCTTTTGAAAGTAACCCATCTTTAGTTTTCTATCCAAAGTTAAGTGCTTTTGAATGAAGCATTAGGTCCCATTCCATAACTGTTGCAATCACCACAAAAATTTGATAATTGCTCTGTCAATGTTTCATGTTATGTTCTTATACACCAGGACAAATAATATTCAGATTCCAGACAGAATGGTTGATTGACAATTACAGTGAACAAGTCAATTTAATCAGTTAATCATGTTTGTCTTGTACAAAGCAGGTTTCATATTCATATCCCATTAACATTTTCTCGTCCTGAATATGCATTTAATAATCCATTTGAAGTTTAAGTTAAACAGCCATCTTCATCATCAAAAACTTTTTTAGATAAAAATTTAGAAGACTTCTGAATGATTCAGGGATAGCACATGTACACACCAATGAATGATTATTGCAATAAAAATCTTTTTAAGTGCTAAAAGAAATTGACCATTTCAAAGAATTATGAATTTGTTTTAATGTAAATTACTTAAAAATTTTGTAAATGCAGTTTTCAAAAGTTCACAGTTTTGCAAATTTAACAATGAATAAAGGTTACATTAAACATGTTTATTTTTCAGTGGCAAATGATACAGATAAATGGGAGGAAACCCAGTTAGAAATGTTTATGTCACTATGGAAACAAGAGTTGAAGCCTGTCACTCCATTTAATAGGTGTATCTGTGCATTTATTGTACAACTACTTGAGAATTCTAAAAATCCATCGGTTTGTATTAAATCTTGTATTGGGATTTTCATACTGAAAGAGTTGTTTTGATCAGAGTTAAACTGAAATGGTTGAAACCTGAAAAGGAACATTGATATATTTCTGTTCAGATTCTTGGTAATTTTTCAAGAATTTGTTGAGCAATTGTTGGCCATTGATACTATAATGTTAAAGGTTTAGTATGATTGCTCTTTACAGGATTTCAACATCAATGGAAAAGATATAGATTCACATTGCAGGATGTAACTGTAAAGAATTGAATTAACTGCAATTGAGTGACTGGAATAAATGATTACAAATCAAATGGCAATTGGGTTTTCAGTGTGAAAATGCATTTACAAGTGTAACTATTATTTTCGTCAGTAAACCCAACATTCATTATATATTGAGAAAAGTCTGATCATAACCCAAATACCTAGTTATATCCCTTTTTACTGAACCACCCTCTCTGTAACTTATAATATAAAAATAAGAAGATGTGGTATGATTGCCAATGAGACAACTCTCCACCAGAGACCGAATGACACAGAAATTAACAACTATAGGTCACTATACGGCCTTCAACAATGAGCAAAACCCATACCGCATAGTCAGCTACAAGAGGCTTTCTAACAAGCAAAAAACCCTTACTGTAAAATATAAGGGCATAAACTATAGGCATGGGGTACACATTCTACTGCATCCACACAGCACGAGTAATAAACCCTGCCCACCTCGAGTGTGGTATGTTGTGGGTTTCTCTCTTAGAGTCAAACTATAGACACTTAAATTGGCTTTGACTGCTTCACCACTAAGTATGCCACAGCAAAAACCTGGTCAGTTCAGACAAAAAAAATATGTTCTGGATAGTATCATATGTCTTCCTGCAGACTGTTATATGAGCATACATTTTTAAAAAGGTAAAAATGTAATTATTTTGATTAATATGGTTAAAGTTTTGAATTAGATACTGTTAATTCAGAAATTATTGCGAGGTTTTTATTAATGCGAATAATGCGACTGGGTGACTATCGCAATAATAAGAACTCGCATTCTGATATCTGTATGCAGATTTTCATGATATCGCAATAATTAATCTCGCATTTTTGTCCATTCTTGATAAATCCAATAATAAATGCACGCAATAATTTCTGAATTTACAGTAATCAGATTCAGATTTTAAGATTTGCTTAGAGTGATAAATAACCTGCTGATGTTGATTAAAACAAATGTCTTGCCAAGTCTATTCATTTGTATTATATTTTTTTTTTTCAGGAATCATGGAAGAAATATTCTCATTTACTTGCATCATTACTTAAAGAAGAACTACTGACTTGTGAAGTTTTAGAGAAAAGTTTCCTTAGCTTAATTTCTCATAATCAGGTATTTTTCAAATGTGTTTTTATTAGTCCCCTACCGACGAAGTCAAAGAGGACTTTAGGTTTGCACGCGTCCGTCTGTCTGTCTGTCCGTCCATCCATCCATCCGACAGTCCGGCAAATCAGTTTTCCACACTTTTTTTCTTCGTGCTTGAAGATATTGATTTGATATTTGTTGTATCGTTTAATCATGATAAGTTACAGATCAAGTTCGAATTTTGTTCCAGTCTGAAGATTTTGTGCAGAGTTATGGTCCTTGGACTTAGAAAATTCACTTAAATAATCAGTTTTCCGCACTTTTTTTTGTCATGCTTGAAGATATTGATTTGATGATTGGTATATAGTTTTATCATGACAATTAAAGTTACAGGTCAAGTTCAAATTTTGTTCCGGTCTGATGATTTTGTGCAAGAGTTATGGTCCTTGGACTTAGAAAATTCACTCAAATAATCAATTTTCCACATTTTTTTTCGTCATGCTTGAAGATATTGACTTGATATTTGTTATATAGTTTACACCATGACAAATTATAGATCAAGTTAGCATTTTGTTCCAGTACAATGAATTTTTAACCGGTAAGGGACTATGTATTGCCAGGCAATACTCACAGAATGCTTGTTATATTTATTTTTAAATTTATTTGTCTATCTAACTGCATTGGTTGTGTCAGTATCATGTTCCCCTTATGTACAGGAGAACAATCATAAGTGAGTTTCCTCATCTCCTAGCATGCAACATTTAAAGGTTGTGCAAAAACATTATATCAGAGTCTGAATAATGTGTCTGGTAGGTTGACATCCCTTCTTGTGAGATTGCTTTTAAAAATCTGACAGTATTGGTCCAGTACAGAGAAGAGATTATGTGACTAAGGGCAGTCTGTCTGGTATGTGAAAGTGATGGAAATGTTTTAATTTGTTGAAAAATGTGTTCCAAATATAAAACATATCCCCTTTTAAAGACAGTCCCTTTGAAACTATTGTTAAGTCAGAAAACTGATATGGAATACATCTAATTGTGTTGATGAAGGCAGAATATAGATGTGTTGAAAGATATTGTGTCAATTCCAACTGGTTACAAATTACATGTTCATCTCTCATGCAAATGATCACAAGACAATTCCCTAGAATAAACCTGGCAAGGTTTTGTTCTTGGCAAAAAACAATTTTCATGGTGGGGTATTTTTATGCAGAAATTACAAAAACATACAATATTAAAACACTGAAGAAAATTTAGAAGATACAGATTGAATTTGTGTTTCCAGTTGAAATTGATATTGGGCTTGTTGATTTCTTTAAATTTATGAATATTAGTAAATAATTTGAATGGTATCAAAATGATGTAACAAAACAGATGTGATTGTTGACATTCTTGCAAAACACTCTCCTCTGTTAGCAACATTGGGATGTATAGTAAAAGTTTGTCTGTCCAGTAGTTTGTTCTTGTTTTGCCTTGGTATCTGTAACTCCTCATAATAAACTAAGAGGATTTTAAAAACCAGGTTAACACAACTGTATTGTGCACTTTTTTTTATAATGCTTTAGAATGACTTATTTTTTAGTTTCCACATAGCATAACATGGAAATAATAATATCTGCTAACAAAAAATAGTTGAAGGTGTTTCTTGTCCAGTAACTATTTCTTGAAACTTTCCATTCTTTTTCAAATGGAAACAATATAAGAAAAATTAAAAACCAATTGTTAAGAGAACACATCAATTTTCTGAATAATTGATAAGCTGCCATTTCCAGTTTACTCAAAGTTACTACTGGTGTCCAATCAGTTTCATTCATACTGATTCAATAAATATATGGTTTCTATATACTTTTGTCTGAAATAAGGGATATAATTTGTTACATCCGGTTTATAAATGTTCCTTCAGGTCACATGTGATAGCTTTTTTCACATTGATTTCGTAAATATATGGTTTCTATATATTTTTGCCTGAAAAAAGGGAGATAATTGCCAACTTCCGGTTTAGAAAATGTCACTTCCTGTCGCATATGATAGCTTTATTCACACTGATTCCAAAAATATATGGTTTCTAAATACTTTTTGCCTTTAATAAGGGAGATAATTAGCTACTTCCAGTTTATTGAAGGTCAAATCTGGTCTCAAATGATAGGTTTATGTATGCCTATTTAAAAGATATATGGTTTCTAAGTACTTTTCCATGAAAAAAGTGCAATAAGGCTACTTCTGGTTTATTCAAGGTCAATTCTGGTTGACATTTTTCAAGGTCATGTGTCACCCAACATTTTTCAAAATATCCTATGGCTTTATTATGAACCAAGTTGAAGTAATAATCAATTGACCTTAAATTAAAACATTTCTGGCGGATTAACTCCTATAAGATGTCAATGGATTGTTTCAGACCAAATGTATCATATCTTCATCACAATGAAGCAAACATTTTGCACTAGTTCTTTTGTATGTATCTTTAAAAGTGTCTAGAGAAAATGCAAAAACAAGCAAAAGTCAAAATTGAGAACATGACCTTGACCCCATTTTCTAATTTAGGACCCAAGGACCTCAAATAAAAAGACTAGGTATATGAGTTACAAAAACATAACGACAAATTTATTTGGTAAAGGTAGATTACAACTATAAAATTTCACCAGATCGCTTCCATCCAAATCAGCCAAAAATTCCTGAGGATGTAACAAACAAATAATAAAAGAATTTTGTCATTATCTTTTTTGGTTATGGAGGCGATACACTCACAAGAAAAACAGTGATAGGGGAGATAACTCTTACACTAAAAAGTCTTTGACTAAAAAGGGTGAGTTTCAAAAGCGCAATGACTGTTCTATAAAATATCCAAAACATCTAAGCAACATCTTCTGAAACCACTTTATACCACAAGAAAAGGGTTTGGCAGAAGAAGAAGAAAAGAAAAAATAATGGTAATAATAATCAGAACAAAATCAATAGGTTTTTCCATGGAAAAGTGGAAAGACCTAAAAATAGGTTTGCTGTCATTTTTAAAGCCTGTTCTTACTTTATGTATATAAATAGGGTGATATGATATGATTTTTTTCCAATGGGACAACTATCCACTAGACACACAAGGATGAGGATGTAAACAAATATTTGGCACAATACAGCCTTCAGCAATGAGGAAAAAGCATAGCATATAGTAAGCTATAAAAGGCTCCAACAAGTCAAAATGTGAAACAATTCAATGGAAAACCAATGGCCTGATTCATGATAAAAACAATCAAGGAAAAACAAATATGACAGACAGCAACCAACAACATCCACTGAATTACAGGTTCTTGACTTGAGACATGCACATAAAGAATGTGGTGGGGTTAAACATGTTTGTGAGTGCTCAACCCCTCCACCTAATCTGGGACCGTGGTGAAACAACTATAAAAATAAGTTGGAAAAGGCTTGACTCATTAAATGGACACTAAGCACGTAAAAAAAACATAACCAAAAGACTAAAAACGTTTTAAGAGCACTCTTAGTTTTGTAATTGCCAATGTATTGAATGTTATGCTTCTTTTTATATTATTTTTATATGTTTTAGAAATGTTTAGAAAACCTATCATTCTGTATTCAGTGTATAACAGAAGGTTTAGAAGATACAGAGATTGACTGTGATTTCTCTGAAGTTACGGACTGGCTATTAACCTTGGCTTGCAGTCATGATGGTGACTCCAAAGAGGATAAACTATTATCAAGTGCTGTGTCATAGTTTTAAATGATTCCTCAAAATATTGTCAGCTATCAGGCCAGCAAGTAATTTTGTGATGTCAATAATAAAGGGAACTAGATTTATGGATAGTGTAATTTTGAAGCATTTGTTCATAATGCATTTATAGAAATTTTGAAATGTGATTTTAATGCAAAATACTACAAAAATATATATAAGATCTAGTTTAATTTTATATAAAACCAGCAATCGTTTGCAAGTTCAAACTTTTTGTTTGTTTGGGATTTTACATTTGAACAAACCTGCTTGTAAGAAACTGCAGACCATTTTATGACAATGGGGTAAGGCTCTGGAAAGAATAATTGTATTCTTATTACCTCAGCATGCATTTAGCAAGGTAAATTAGATTGGTGCTGTCATATGAAATAGTGCAATATAACATTTTGTATATAGTCTTTAAGTGTTTTAACTGTAAGATTTATTTAGCATACAATCACCTTATTGTTAAGAAGTACTAAATGTAATACCATCTTGAGACAATTGAAAAAGGTAATACAGTCATGTTTCAGAATATTTATAGCTGCCACTTTGGGAAATAGTTAAAGATGAATGGTATGTTTTGACATTTATATATTGTATTTATTGATAATTACTGTGATAAGAACATGACCCATTCATATATTAACTACACAATTTGTAAATATACAATTCTTGGTATTTTTGTTTGTTTGTTCTGATGTCCATACGTTATTTCAGTGATGAACTAAAAATATAGCTTATTGGCATAAACTTTTATATTATGAGTTAAACTTTCTATAACAATACAACACTTGCTCTGATACAAAATTATTTTGTCAGAACTCTTCACTATAGAGAGATATTGTAGACAGGGAGATCCTTTATTTCCCTTTTTGAACTCACCTTTGCCTAAAAGGTCATGTGAGCTAAAGCCATCATTAGATGCCTTGTCCTAAACTTTTAACAAAAAACTTCTCCTTTGAAATACAAAAATACCAATTTCAACCAAACTTGAAATGAATGATCCTTAGGGTATAAAGTTTAAAGTTTGTGTTTTTTATTCCTGTCAGTCAACAAACATAGTGGCCACAGCTAAAAATGGAACAGAAGGGTGAAATGCATTGTCTGTATATTTTGAAAAGTAAAAAAGAAAGTCTAACAGTTGCAAAAATGGCCTGTGTGTCAAGATCTACCTTATTCATGTTTGCACCAAAATTATCAGAAAACTCCTTACTGGAAATGTTGCCTTCGTTTGTTGCTGTATATCATATTTGTTTTTCGTTCATTATTTTGTACATAAATCAGGTAGTTAGTTTTCTCGTTTGAATAGTTTTACATTTGTCATTTTGGGGCCTTTTATATCTGACTATGGGGTATGGGCTTTGCTCATTGTTGAAGGCCGTACAGTGACCTATAGTTGTTAATTTCTGTGTCATTTGGTTTCTTGTGGAGAGTTGTCTCATTGGCAATCACACCACATCTTCTTATTTTTATATTTTAAATATGTTTTTTGTCAAATTTCCATGTCTTTGGCCTATTATTTAAAATATTAAAGATAGATAAAAACATCTAAAAGCAAAATGTGATCAGCAATATAAGATATACAAATATGGCAAAAAAGCAAAACCATTGGATGACTCCTTAAGGAGTTATTGCCCTTAAATTATGATTTTGACAAATTTTTATCTATTTGGCATAGAAACTGTAATTAGCAAAAATGATCAATACAAAGCCTAAGTGCTACTAAATAAGATCTTAAAGTAAGCTACCATAACTGATTGCCGTAAAGGTTAAAATGAATATCAAAATTTCTCAGGTGACAGGTTCAAGCTCTTAGGCATCTCTTTTTCTTGCTATGTGCTGAAATATTGGACATTTTGGTAAGTAATAGTAGGGAAACAAAGTGTATTACTATTGATGATACAGAAAAAGGTTATTAAACTCAAATTCAAACTGGATGAGAACAGTCTCTTGTTAGGTATATGAATTTAATTTTACTACAATACACTAGGCCTGTTAAAGGCTCTTAAATAAATTTGGGCAAGTGTTTTGCTAGTTTGTTATTTAAATTAGGAATATATAAAACAAGACTATCATTATTTTTCACTCCAAAAAAAGTTTCAGTGCAATTGAAATAAAAATCATAAATGATCCTTATCATTATGACAAATCATAAAGTCTAAATTTGGTCGCAAGTACAAAGCTTGAGTAATCTTGAAGAAATCTGTTGTAGTAATATACGAAAATAACTTTGTATACAAAACATGACTAGGTTCTACACATACCAGACAGAAGAAATAAAATCAAATCTGTCAAAATGAAAGGTTCTAATCACAATTTGTTTGCAATTACTGTGGAAAGTTAAGTTCGAGTTAGAGACAAAACCATGGTATCCTCTATACCATGCAGTGACGAAGATAACGAATTCCACACATGAAAATCTGAGAAAAAAGTATCAACTGTGTTTAAAATAGGTGCACATTTTAAACATGTGCAAAGTATCAATAATTTGGAAAGAAAGTTTTGGAGTAGCACATGACACATACTAGATACCCTCTATTTTAGACAGTCATAAATGGGAATTAGTAGTAACTAGAGCTGCTGGTGATGCAGGTATAAATGGATGGAACAAAAGTGAATTGAGACATAGGTACTAGTATTATTTGTCTAACAATGTAAATTATTACAAAGATCTCCATAAAACCATGCTGTCCAAAGTTGCGTGCGCATTTGGCAACGAATTTCGGGTTTTTCATTGCTTTTCAAATTTGTATTTGATAGGCCTACTAATTGGTTTGATTCGAGCATCTTGCTTAAAAAATATAAGCCTGGTTTCTAAGAGTTTCTGCAACCACTGGGTCGATACTACCGCTGGTGGACGTCCTCGAGGGTATTGCCATCGTAACAGTCGGTACATCCGTGTTGTCATGAAGTACAATTATGCGGTCATTTTCTGTAAATTTGCTGTTGGTAAAATTTTCAAATATTCGAAACACTCAGGATTTTCTACCCCAGACACGGGAGGATTCAGTCGTTTATGGTACAACTTTATGGAATTTTGGGTTTTTCAATGCTGTTCAACTTCGAATTTGGTTTGGCTTTCTAATGGTGTTGATACGAGCTTCACTGATGAGTCTTTTGTAGATGAAACGCTCGTGTGTCCCAAAAAAAAACCCAAACCTGGTAATGTTGATTAAATTTTAAAACTGCTGGGTCGATACTACTGTTTGTAGACGTTTTGTCCCCGAGGGTATCCTACCACTGCGCAGTAATCAGTATTTTTGTTGACATGAAATATCAATTATGAGGTCAATTTTTGGAAAATGACGCTATCAGCGGCATGTTTCCGATACCATTGACCAGAACTAACGGAAGTTGATTATGCCTCCGCCTACCGCACTCGGTTTCATATTTACTATTTTACATACTAACTGGAATCTGCTTGTATTACGCTACACTCGAACAAAGTCTTTGTTAAAGTGTTGTAGTCGGACGGGAACCAGTTTACATACGTTATTTTATTTACCAAAAAGATATCTTGACCTGTCCATATGTTTTTTGTTATTAAATGGTATTTGGAGCTATCCCTTTGTTATATTTTTCATATTTATTCGAGCTTTCACTTTTATGCACATGTCTTACAATCGTAAACAATCGGTATGTATACATGATAAATAGATCCGTTTTGTTATGGTGTTGGACTTTTTACCCTCCAATGATCAGCAATCGCTAGACAAAATAGTTCTCCTAAATAATGTCAGCCTTTCATGCCATTTCAACTTTACAATCATTAAAAAAGTAATAATCGGAATCATTTTGATATCCATTGGATAGAAACTGGTCTTTATCCAGATTTACGAAGATTTTAATAATCGGAAATTAGTAATACGGTTATACCCACGCGGTGCGTATGAATCTTTGTTCACAAAGTTATAGCAGCAGAGTCTGTAACTGTATCATTATTAATTAACTACACTGTTATTGTACTTAAAATGATGAAAACTGCATATGCAATATAAGATGTCAACTCGGCCAATACAGATTTTTTTTCCGTATTGGCCGAGTTCTGATCCGGCCAAAACAGGATTTCGGAACGTCTCTAGTTTTTAGATCGTAAGTCACGATAAACACAAACTGAAAGGAAAACCAGTTGTTTGTACGACGCAGTTTTTATTTACTCACCATAAACAAGCTGAAACGTTCAGTATGGCATATATTTTAGGTTTAAGACGGTCCCATTCATTTGAAAAGCATTTTGAAAGTAGACGATGGGATTATTTCAGGTTTAGGGAACGAGTAAATTATCACAAAATTCATTTCTTGACGACCTCATAATTTCATCATGTCGATTTTTACTGTTCACTTTCGCTTCTCATGTTTTGTAAACGGTCTTTTATTTTAAAACCCGAACCAGGCATATGCATTCTGTAATTGCGCAAATCTTCGTTCTTTGGTCAATTGGCTTATGGATAGTTGTATCAATTTCAACTCTTACATTATTTTTTTTTTAAATATATTTGCATTACACAATTGCAATGGCAGTACCTTTCCAATTACTATTTATGTGTTGTGTCTAAATTAAAGTTGTAACACTTTATAGTGACTCGAAAGGGTAGAAAAATTCATCAGATGAGAAAAGGCTGAAGATACATGGAAACGGCACCAAATCATTAGATATTGCATCTTATAAAAAGAAACTGAGATTTGGATAGTTCCACTTCAAGGTAAAAATGTTTATCTCTTGTGAAATGAAATAAAAAAATATTGTAACACTGTAGTTAATTAATAAAGATACTATTACATGTATTTCTGTATTGGCCTTATTGTTGGTCCTCGGCCTTCAGTATTGGCCTTTGGCTTCGCCTCAGACCAATACACCAAGACATGGACCCATAACAAGGACAATACAGAAATACTTACGCAATAATATTATAGAATGACAGTATGGTTCAATAGCGGGAATCAGCCCCTCAACTACTTTTTACATAAATATTAACTTCTGGCTTCAACTCCTTGTTCGTCTTGTCTGGAGATCTTGTTGTAGTTCCAGTTAGGCAAGCATTTTAGAGACGTATCCCGTCCATCCTCTCTTGACTTGTAATTTCTGGTGATAGATTTTGCCGCTTGACGTTGTATCTTTTCAAGCTTGTTTTTTTTTGTTACCGTGTAGGGGTCCCATACTATGGCTCCATATTAAATTGTAAGATCCATTCCTAAAGGTCTAGATCATTGTTCTAATCTGACACAAATTTCAATAACTGGAATGCTACCCGAGTTGAATATATGGTGACCTACTAGAACAGCATTATCACTATTGGATTTGTGTTTAATACCATGATTGTTCAATGTCATTAACTTAAATGGAGACAGACATTTGACCTGAAAGGTGTTGTGGGAGTGCAAAACCAAAAACTAACTGACTATGATATATGGTTAAAGAATGAATATCAATTACATGGGTCAACATGGTCAAGGGCAGAGTTGTTATGAAATAACAATATGGCAGAAAAGTGGTTTCAAGTTTCATATAAAGCGACCTGACTGACATGAAATAGAATTTCAAAGGAGTATCCCTATTTGTCTAATCTTCAAGGTGAAATAAAACTAGTAAAACAATATTATACTATTGTCTAAATCTACAGAAATATAATTTGCTTCAAGTAACAGAAATAACTAGGTCACTAGTACTTATTTAATGAGTATGTGGGGTATAAGAGCTTGATAACAACAGGCTCTTCATAATCATTTGGTTTGAAAAGGATACTAGTAGTCTATATTCTTGATTTAGAAAAATGTAATTGCAAGACAAAAATCACATTACTTAGAATACTTTAGATCATTCAGGTAGTCTTTATTTATATGTACAAAAGAACAGCCAGTAGTCATTGGATATTGTAGATCATTCAAATAGTCTTGACCTATTTATTAGTACAAAAGAACAGCCAGTAGTCATTGGATATTGTAGATCATTGTGGTAGTCTTGACCTATTTATTTATAGAAAAAAACAGCCAGTAGTCATTGGATACTGTAGATCATTCAGGTAGTCTTGACCTATACATTTGTACTAAAAAAACAGCCAGTTGTCATCTTCACATAACACACACATATACGAATATCAATTATATGCTTACGAGACATGTTGGAATGTTAAACTAATTACGGTATGTGAAAATCAAGACTTGCATAAAAAATATCACAATATTAGAGACAGTGGCGTCATTTTTCCTCAGAGCTTTCAGCTCTTTGATTAAAATTTGCTGTTAAGAAAACTTAAATTTTCAAAACACTACGGTTATTCTAACCTCAGGCAATAGATGGCCTTAGTCGTATTTGGCACTTTTTTTGCTCTTCAACTTACAATTTGATTTGGCCCTCTTACTGTTTTGTTTCGAGTGCCAATGATGATTCTCATTTAGAGGAAATGCGCATATAACGTACTATTTTAGTATATAATATTAGCTTGGTATCTTTGAGGAGTTAATTTCTACATCCAATGAGTCGATACCACTGCTGTCCCAGAGGGTATCATTATCCCAGAAATCGGCACTTCTGTGTTGACATGAATATCAATGATTCGATCATTATATGTAAATTTGTTGTTTCAAATTTTTCAAATATTTGAAACGCGCATCTGGCATAAAACAGAAATAAGCCTGGTATCTTCGATGAGTTTTGATAGAAGGGGAGTCTATTTGTCCATTTCCCAATTTGTGTAAACTGAGACGCCATTTAAGTTTTCACTAATTCGTAAAAAATGTCCAGGTTGATAATTTTTTGGTGCTTTTGATATTTTAGGTTCATGAACTATATCCTTGTACAATTTCCTTAATTTGGTCGTCTATATGATTTTTACTCATTTTTGTCTGGCCTAAAGCATGTGGAACATATTGATGCTAGTCCTATGGTGTTTGAGCTTTGTATAAAGCTTCAGATTTCAGATTGGAGAAGAGTATTATAATCTATATCTGGTATATACAGATGTGAGGTTTTCATATTGCATATGTCAAGTGTTATTGACTTTCATTTTTAGTTTTTCACTGAACACTTAAAAAAAACGAATGATTTTTTTTTTCTTCAGTAACGAATAATTTTACAATTATAGTTGGTATTTAGATTACCGGTACTTGCAAGGTAAACTGGCCTTGACCTCATTTTCATGGTTCATTGATCAACGTCAAGTTTTCTTGATAAGCTCCGTTTTTACGATACTCTACGCAAATGGTCAAATGGTTGACCTTTTCGTTTTTACTCTCTTAAAAAGAGGCTGAAAAAACCAAAAGCAGAATCAAAATTCGAGAGAGACTGACAATACCACGACAACGACGAAAGACAAAAAACTTTTAGTTTACAGACTAACATTTTAAAAACCTTAAGACTGAGCAACACGAACCCATAACAAAAACTGGGAGTGATCTCAGGCAGGTTGATCAGATCCTGCTTCACTTGTGAAATCCGTCCTTATGCTCCAAGAAAATATTTTAAGTTATTAGATTGGGCTTCACGCAATAGTGAATTGGTAATTGACTCTTATCTAACCTTAAAACATCACCAAATTTAAACCATCGGTCATGGAAAATTTTCTAACCCTAAAACTTGACTGATAAATTTTGAAATTGAAACGAGTGTTGTATATGTTGGGCTTTGCAATAACTTTTCTCTAGTGTACCCGATGAAGGCTTTTCCATAAAAACGTGTCATACACATCGACACCAGTATCCCATGTTTACATTCAATCCTTTTTTTGTTGTTTCGCTCATTTGATTCCAAATTTGTGACAATTAATATTTTACTTAGCATTCAATTTCATTACCTGTGTTGTGAGACTTGTGAGTTCCCCAAGCAACTAAACATATTAAATCAGATACATCTTTTTGATTCATTTTTATTTCGAGCTTCATTATCGAAAGACTACGGTTGCAAGAATTGTCTTTAATCTTGTTAATATCCATAGTTTTACATTCCTGTTTATTTAGCCCAAGTCTCTTGATTAGCTGGTCCTGTTTCGGAGGATCGTTTATGGATTTTGTACAAATACCACATCAGTCCAGTCATTAGTGCCAAAAGAATTATGCTGCCAGTTGTGATTCCAGTTATGAAAGGTATAGTAATTTTAGGTTCCTAAAAGAGATTTATTTTTTTAATATACTGGGTAGTTATGTTCGCGTTAAGGATCTGAATGCCATATTCCAAGTAGAAAATTTGACAATTTTTATGTGACCTTTACATCTGCTTGAAATAGAATCTAACAATCAAAATAAACACTATTTTGAAATCAGCATAAAGCAAAAGCTATTCTAAAAATAATTGGAGATAATAGAGATTCAAATTGACTATATTACTAAAACATGAATCGTTACTATTTTCAAGGTTTAAATACTTATATATAAACCCGTGTATTACTTACCGTTACGTGTGTTGGTTCTGAAAAAAAATATAAATTTAAACAATTTGAAACATTTATTTCTTTGATGCTTTACATACACATAATTTATATGTCATTTTATCATAATAATTTTACCTCATTTATGTAAGAACTTGAAGACAATCTTTGTTTGGGAGCATTATAAATTTCATTTGCAAGAAAACATTACTGTAAATTGTTGTCAATTGAGAATGGAAACTGGGAATGTTTTAAAGAGACGACAACCCGATCAAAGAACAGAAAACAGCCCAAGGCCACTAATGGGTTTTCAATGCAGCTAGAAAATCCACACCACACAAGACTAGCAAAGGCTAGAGACAGGCGCATAAATGCGGCAAGGTTGAACATGTTTTGTGAAATCACAACCCTCCCCCTTTACCTCTAACCAATACGGAGTAAACGAACACACAGCAATACGCACAGTAAAACTCAGTTTAAAAGAAGTCCGAGTCCGATGTTAGAATAGGTAACAGAAGAACCTAAGCAAAATGACAATGATCAACATAAATTAACAAAGGACTACTACCAGTAACTTATATGCCAGCTCCAACCCTCAATTAAACTGATCGAAAGATTATGTCTTCATCATATGAAAACCAAGCACAATCCCTCCCGATAGGAAATTAGCATCATGCCATCATAAATTATACGAGAAGAACATAACCCGTTAAAAAGACTTTTTGAATGTGACAATTAACAGACAATTCCAAATACTTTTTGTATTCAGTGAGATATTTCAAAAAGAGAATATTTGTTTAGAATTTTACTGACATTTAGAATTTGTCAAATGTTTGATATCATCCACCCTCACTTACATATTAAAATTTGCGGAACATATAACTGTTTACAGGTAAATACTTTTCTTATTTAAAATATCTTTAACTTCACTACTCAACAGCCACTGTACGACTATTAATTAAGAATGATTTATCTTTGATATCTGAGTGTTAGAAAACTGTTACATTTTTAAAGAAAATATATTTATGTATAGAGCTTAATAATTACAACAGTGAAATTTTCAGTTTTCAAGTACTATGTCTATATATATAGTAGTAAAATTCTTTCCTTCTTTGTGACTGAACATTTTTCATTACTTTATTAATTTACTGATGACTCCAATAAAATAGCGACACAAAAAGACCTCTGCAGCAGAAAGGCAAAAGAGCAAAAATGGTAAAACGAAAAAAAGGTTCTGCATTAATCATGTTAGCAATTTCAGAGGCACCCTCTAAACCTGTCACTATAGAAGTCAACAGACGGTCTTAAACAATACACAAGTATCTATATGATATGTCAAGCGCTAAATCGATCCGACTCTAGAAAAAAACATTTTTCAGGGTTGATATTTAAACAAACAGTCGATATTCCTATGGGTACTAAGTGTGCACCGCCTGGTTTGGTTTTATTTAATCGTATGAAGCAAAATGCATAGTAAATCTCAAAGACAAAAAGAAAAGGTATCTTATCAAACTTTTTGAGAATACACTTTGTGTTAGATATCTATCTGTTAATTTCACTTTCAAATATGATAATTCCCTATATTTTCCTTCCATAAGTTATATACATTATCTTAATCCCAACGCTGTAAAAAAACAATGATTTTGTTATATCGGAATGAATTGTAATTTTCACAATTTATAAACAAATTATCGTCGACCAGCGACATTAATCAATCATATCTTAGTATAGATTTGGTGAACAGATATACCACATACGTTGAGATGTAATCGGCAATTTACCTCTGGAAAGATTTTAGGATTATTTGGGACAATATGACACGAACAACCATAACTAACCTTGTATACAGAATGGACGTTTGTATCCGTTTTTACATCGACAGGAATGACTCATAAACAGATTGTAGCATGTTTCGTTTCCCGTGCATGGTGATGTAGAACATTCATTTCGACCTAAAGAAACATGTTTCAATTAAATGTATAGAAAAGTCTGAGATTCGATACTAGTATTCATCATTAAAAATAAAATATTGTGTTTTTCCTCTGAAAATTTAATTTGATGTTCCTATGAATATAGTGTGTTGACATATCCCAAAAATATACATTGCCCAAAGATTCCAAAAACCAACAGTATCTAACAGTCGGTTAAAAAAATAAACAATTCTTACATGTTACTCGTCTATAGCAGGCGACGCCTAAACTGTCAATGCACTTGTCTCGTTGCTTTTAGGGTTCATGCGAATCCTTCAGTTGTTTTCACTTTGTATTTTCAAAATGGATTTGAACATCGATAAAATATTGTTGCTTCTTACTTATACTTGTTCCATTTGCATATCAGTATAACTGTGAAAAATTTGGTTGACCTGAGATGAATATAGCTATTCTATTTTATGTCTCTTTCGGTAATATAGCTCCTAACGTTTTTTATTATTTATACATCCCTAGTTTTTAAATGATTGTGTTTGAACGTTCCTGACGAAGGTTGATCCAGTAAAGCGCTCCGGACACACGCAATTCATAAATAGTTAATTTCATTTTTTATCGCGACTTTCGAGAATAAAATATAAATCATTGGGTTTTGTTAAGTTTAAATATTTCTGCAGTCCTTCTTTAAAATAGACAAATTCAATTTTAACAGTTTTGAAAGAGATTATGTGTAAACTTGGCAGAAAACCTTTCAATTGGTGTTTTATATGCCATTAGTGCTCGATATAATACTAGCATTGCAGGAGTAGATTAACATGTAAAATCTTACCTTAGATGAATTTGGCTATTTTTTAAGGTATTTTTTGTCATATAGCTCTTCAACTGTTTCGGTACTTATACATCCTCGGATTTCAAATGTTTGGCTTTGAGCGTTCCTGATGAAGGTAAATCCAGAAAAGGCCTTTCGGACGCATGAAACTATTAAACGTGTTGTTTTCAATTTTTTATCACAGTTATCTGTATAATTCTACCGACTTAATTTTGCTTTATGATTGCTGTGATTTTTTTGATGCTATTCATCTTTACAATTACTCAAAGTATATTAAAAGATCATAACCAAATGTAATAAATTTCGCCTATCCCCAATGAGAGTCTCGGGAACAATCATTCAGAAGCTAAAATCAAAACATTTGTGTATACATTCATCCCCCATTCATTCATTCATTAAATCAATTCCATCAATCCATCCATATCTAACACAAACAAATTTCTATGCAACACACAAGTAAAACACTCCTTCAAATACCTAATACATCAGTATTATGGGGGAACACAAAACCTTACCAGCAACAATTACATCGACACACCTTGGTTGACTTGTTATTCTGTAAACAAATAATATAAATCAAATTTCTCATTAAAAAAAGGAAACCCAACAATAATTCTTATATGAAAATTCATTATTCTTTCGTATTCCAAATAAGATTTCATCTATGATATGCAAGTTCGAATTATATATGTGGCGAGTCAAGAAAATGCCATAAATTTATTAGATACACTGACTTCTGATCTGACAATTTGTCATCAGAATTGTTAATCATTGTAAGTTCTGGCATATCAACACGATACTTTTTTTGTAAAGGTGAAATCTCCCCTTTTTTGTAAGGGAGGGGGAGGGGGGTGCTTCTTGGATTTTGTACTTCCGAATCTTTTTAATGTCTTTTCATAATTGTTGTTTGATCGTATCTGATGAAAACAAATCAAAAAGGCACGCAATAACTAAGCTTTTCTATCTTTTTTTTGCTAAAGCCACGTGGTAACTTCGTTTTTACCTTCAAAGAAAGATATTTCCCACTTTATAAATTTTAATAAAGAGATATTTTACGTAGAACCTATTTCACGTTGTTTTTCATAATATGTAGTGTAACTATGTGTTACTGTTATTAATATACAATCAACATTCAAATAAACTGCTAAATAAAGGACACCAGTCCTGTGTGCTAAAACAAGTTAGTGAAAGAGTGTGTTTAGACAAAATAATGAATACTCAAAACTTACCCGTAATTATTCATACCCCAGACACAAAATAAAGCATCACCGATCATGTCTCTAGGGGTAACTTTACAAATCTCGTAAAGTCGGGTTACATTTTTTCTTCCATTGTCATCTGGTAGCTGCTGGTATGTGCAACCCTTAGATAAACTAACCAGAAAAGATGTATTGCTAAAAAGCAAACAAATAAAAAAATCATTTTGATTTTAAAACTTTTATGATTAGTAGATCACACATTTTTTTCTTTCTATGTTTAAATTGAGTTTAAATAGAAATTTCATTCACTAGAATTGATTAATTCTTTACAAAGAAGAGACATATACCTTTATCAGGAACACTAAACCTTAACCTATTAAAGATTTTCTACCCCAGGAAAAGATTACTTAGCTATGACAAACGAGACGATTTTAATTTTGAAATTATAAATTCCCCCACCTCAGCAGCAATGTACCAACTTCACCTGCATATGGGATATACATTTCCAAATTCATTCGATATTCAAGAGCTTGCAGCTGCTACTCAAACTAAAACGTCATCAGTGTCTGAGCAGAAAGTTGATGAACCAGGGTTATGTCAAAGAACGTCTCGTCCTTTTTCTAAAAAAAAATCATCGGAAGATACAAAGACCTTGTTGACAAATATTCCGAATCAACTTCACAAATAATACATGATGGTCTTAAAGTATAGATTCTAAGTAATGAAAAAAGTTACCGAAGGAAAATTCAAAACGGAAAGTCCCTTATGAAATGGCAAAATCAAAAGCTCAAACACATCAAACGAAAGAAAAACAATTGTTATATTTCTGACTTGGTGCTATAGTGATCTTTTTATTGGCTTTGTGTTTATTTTTAACCTTTACAATTAAGTCCATTTTTGGTAATATCCTTTTGGAGTGGCTCGGTATTTATACAACCCGCCATTGTGTTATTGTGCTATGGTCATTTTTGTATTCTTGTCTTTCATTTCTGCTTATGTGCTTTGTCCATAGAGTGTCTATATGCCATTTTGTTTTTCTTTTTTAGCATAGTTGTTTGTTTTTATAGTGATTAAGATTATAACACAATGTTGACTGCTGTACCAAAATGTTTTACATTTTACCTATTATGTCTATTTGATTTGCTCATACATTGTTGTCAATATAATGAATCATACAAGTGGGAGGTTTAGCTAGCTATAAAACCAGGTTTAATCCTCAATTTTTTTACACAAGGAAATGCCTGTACCAAATCAGGAATATGACAATTGTTTTCTATTCGTTTTCTGTGTTTCAGCTTTTGATTTTGTCATTTGATAAGGGACTTTCCGTTTTGAATTTTCATAGGAGTTCGGTATTTTTGTTATTTTACTTAGCTGTGTTTTCCAAAACTCTTCGGAATTTTGGGTCCTCAATGATCTTCAACTTCGCACTTTATTCGGTCTTTTACGTTTTTTGATTCGAACGCCACTGATAAGTCTTGTTTAGACGAAACGCGCGTCTGGTGTACAAAATTATAAGCCTGGTAGTTTTGGTGAGGTGTTTTTGAAAGCCACGGATATGTAAATACGCTACAACTATAATGGCTATATGACCGTAATAGTTGTACACACATACTTTACATCTAACGTTTCCAAATATACACCATTAAGAAGTTGTGGCATATTTGTAGGGTATGGTACTCGAAGGTTTTCAGGTACCGTCAATGACACAAATTTCATATTGGTATCACAACTGGTTGGTCCATTTACAATATGTATAGTAAACTGTAAGAAATAAAATCAGAATAAATATTTATTATATAAAAATGTAAAATTGGTGTTTGTGAAGTATAATCTTTAACTTCATAAAAGGCATACGTGACTCACACATCCATGAGACAGCGATCAAAAATAGGATTTTCCATACCATATGTCAAGCTCTGAATGGAGTTTGACAATTTTTTATAAACAGAGCAGGGACATCATGTCTTAATCCGTTGAATTAACAAATGTACCTACATTTCAATAGCAGCCACGTGAAAAGGCAATTAATGCAATCAAAACCTATGTTACAGGCGACAACAAAAATACTACACATATCGTACCAAAATGGTTACAAAAAAAAACTGAAACTCAGGTCAAAGTAGTTCATTAAAAATACTAAAAATAGTGATATTGGCTATTACGAAATTACAGAAACAATACTTGTATACTCTTGAACGCTATTGAAAATATAAAATTATTGATACTATATTTTGCTTCCAGTTTCGTTACTGTTTCAATTACATCTATTTACCTGTAAAGGAGTGCTACTTATTTTTTGTTGTGGTGTTACAGCTTTATTATTCACGAAAATACCATATCTTGGGAAATCGTCTACCATTAATGTAACGCGGTACCTTTGACCAGGCTGGTAACCATTTCGAGTGCTAGCGTAAAGCTCAATTGTACATGCTTTCTGAAAGATATATATATTCAAATGTAAAAACTAAAACAACTAGATTTATGACAAAGCAATATAAACAGTCTGTAACACTTCACAGGTAAATTTTTTACAAAGGTAAAAAAGCTTCTTATCAATTATCGAAGTTCAAAAGAGTGTCCGGATAATTTTGAAAAAAGTTGACTAGTGATACTTTGTCTATTTTGAAAAAGCTCGTCAGAGATACCAGGCAGATAATTTAGTACGCCAGACGAGCGTTTCGTCTACAGAAGACTCATCAGCACGCTTGAATTAATATGATTGGAAGGCCAAAACCAAATATTAAAAAAAAATGTTCCAGATAAGGCTAAGACAATCCATATCTTGGGGAACGAATAATTCAACATTTCAATAGCAGTAACACAGAAAAGCTTCCTGTTTGTTAAAGTTCAACAGCATATTTTAAAGCGAATTGTCAAACAACTTTAGATAAGGAAATGTTTAGCTACCATCTTTGTGTACCTGGTTTAATTCAGCATGTGGCAAGTCTGTACACGACTGACCACAGTCTTTGGATTCCGCCCATCTGCAAGCCACCCTGTCATCATCCGGATCAATTACAGGTATTTTTATCACTGTCTGACAACTGTGCTGTATTCTTTAAGATGAAATTATTGTGATGTTTGAAGTTATATGATGAGTAAATGGTAAGATCAGATGAATAGAGCAAACAGGGTCAACATTTCCCCCAATTTTTCTTTTTAGGCGATATTTTAAGGACGATGCAATATATCAGGTCGTTAAATCCATTTGGAAGCGTTGGATTTAGCAAACTCAACACTTTGTAATATTCGTTATTTATGTCATGTTGTCTATTTGGAAATGGTGTTCAAATTTCTTTTTGAACTGAAAGTTTTTTTGCCCCTCCCTCAAACCTCCAAACTTACTCCTTTTTACTGTGCTGTACTTTAACATACTTGCAAACTTTACAAAAAACCTTAAGGATTATTTTTATTATTTACAGACTTGTCTGACTAGTCAAGGCATTTGTAAGGAGTTAACTGCTATACTAAAAGCTAAAGACACAGCACTGTAAAATCATGTTCATGCTTTCATTTAATTATAGAAGTCAGATCATCAGGTGTAACTTAGATAACATTACTACATGTTCCAGATACTAATAACTGAACAGATTTGGGATCAAAATATATTACTAGGTGAATCCACAGTCCTTTGAAGTAATGTAGAACTAACAAAATATATAAAAAAAAATGATTTGTACGCGATGGAAAAGAAATATTACTAAGCATGTCATTTGAATTGTTCGAAAAGCTAAGGATTTTCTACCCCGGAAATAGATTACTGGAGCTGTATTTGGCAAGTAAAGGCAACAGTAGTATACCGGTGTTCAAAAGTCATATATCGATTGAGAGAAAACAAATCCGGGTTACAAACTAAAACCGAGGGAAACACATCGACTACAAGACAAAAACAAAAGAACAACGGGGACACTGAAGTGTAAGAAAAACAAACGCCAACATACATAGAAAGGAACTATTTCATAACAACTGCCATATTCCTGACTTGGTACAGGACATTTTATGAAAAAAATGGTGGGTTGAACCTGTTTTAATGACTAGCCAAACCACCCGCTTTATGACAATGCATAAAAATATCGTTAAAATGACAACACTACGTGACAGAAATACAGCACAAACACACGTAAGAACATTCATCACAGAGAAACGCACAAACAAATAATATAATAGTCAACACAACATGCAAACATCAACGAACATATTCCATCAACGACAGACACCACAGGATATCAAAAACAGTGACGCGCTTACGTAACTAACATGCAATCTCGAACTTTATACAATTATTTTCACAATACTAGTCCAAGCAATTTTCATGACAATGATGGTATTGAAAGGCAATTTTATAATTATTTGCACTACAAACAATTAGACATAACACATTATCCAACCGAAACAATAACAGAAACATCAAAAATAAATACATGAATGTTGTATGTAGAAAATACCGAGACACGTCGTATAGCAATGCAAATTCACACTCGATATAACAGTCATATTCGGGAATATGACAATGATGGTATTGAAAGGCAATTATATAATTATTTGGACAACAAACGATTAGACATAACACATTAATCAACCAAAACCATAACAGAAACACCAAAAATTGATACATGAATGTTGGCTGTACAAAATACCGAGACACGTCGTATAGCAATGCAAATTCACACTCGGTATAACAGTCATATTCGGGAATAGGTCACGTGCGGTACTAGGAGACTGACAACCTAGATGTTAAACCACAATCTAAGACGTGGTAAAAACGTCATTAGTTAGTTTAGACAGATACATCGTATAAATCAACCAATTCGTAATGGTGTCCATAAAATTTACGGAGTGTCATTTTTAATCTGTCCTCCTCATAACTCTGTTGGAGCAGTTTCTGCGTAAGGAGCACACTCTTGTATATGAAGTCAGTATAGTGTGAACATGCACGAACATAACGTATCATTTCAGATATGTAAACACCATACGACGGAGCAGAGGGTATGTTACTGCTGAGAAATGGTAAATTGATAATTAGGAAGTTGAAATCATCCCGTTTGTCATAGATTTTCAAAACCTTTCAAATGTTGTGGCCACCAATGCTCAACAACTTCGTATTTTATTTGTGTCATAACTTTTTGATTCGAGCTTCACAGATGAGTCTTTTGTAGACGAAACGCGCATTTGGCGTAAAAAAATATAAGCCTGGTATCTTTGGTGAGTTTTTGGACAACAACTTAGAAAAAGGGCAAAATGTTCGCGCTAGTGTTCTCTTTTGTTTGCTGCGGCTGAAATATTTTCCTTATGCTCTAAGGTAAGTAAAAAAAAAGACTTTCAGACGCATCACATTAGTTAAATTTAATTTTCTAGCACTAGGTCGATCCCGCTGCTGGTAGATTGTTAGTCCTCGAGAGTATCATTAGTCCAGCTATTTTGAATGCTTTGCAAGTTATATATAAGGTTCCAACTCCCTCAGGCAAAGTTGACCTTAGATGAATTTGGCTATTTTTTTTAGGAAATTTTTGGTCATATAGCTTTGTAGCTGTATCGGTCCTTATACATCCTCGGCTTTCAAATATCCGGCTTATAGCGTTTTCGACGAAGATAAGGTATCAATACACAGTTAGAAAAAAAACTTAAAATTAACACTCATAATTTTTAACCACCCTCTTTCTCTTGCTTTCTAACAAATAAGGCTAATATTTGTGTTATGCATGTGTATATTTATGGAAAGAGCATTTTCCATAGATTTGATTTCCAATAGTTATAATGGTGAAATATAATCTCTTTTTAGTGTAACCATGGCAACATTCTGCATTTATTTAATACAAAATATTGCAAAAAGGGGGTGAAAATGTCACAAAAGTCCCCAAAATTTAGTCCAAAGGAGAATTTCAATCCATTAGAGTGATACCTTTCCTGAAACCATAGACATTTATCTATCAAGAGGTCCAAAAAAATCATATGCATTTCTGCTCATTTTTCCATAAAACTGAATTGAAAAGTTCGAGGGTCAAATCTTTTTTGAAAAACACTACAATAATTTCTGGACCTATGGGCGGTACGGATGAGAAAATACAGATTGTCAAACAGAAAAATGGCCTATAAAAGATGCAAAAAAACAATCTTGATGTTCATATAAACCCACTTAGAAGGCTATATCATTCTTCAACTATCTAAAAATCAATTTTATTGTACAAAAACTTTCATATTTAAAAAATTCACCATGGCCAAAATGTCAAACTAAACTTCTAACTGTGTATTGCTACCTAAATCCAGAAAAGCGGTTCGGACGCATGAAATTGATAACGTGTTGTTTTCATATTTTATATATAACGTTTCTTAACCAGTCAGGATTGAATTGGTGGTTTTGGCTATTCGTTTAATGTCCTTATACTACACTTATATAGGTATTCAAGAATGTATTCATCTTTTTCTTTCAAATTTCATATTTTGGTCAAGAAAAATAAAGAAAAAACTTTTCAGACGCTCAATATTTAAATAGTGTTTTACTTATATTATCTAGCCCTTGAAAGAGATTGTGTCCTGAATTACGAGATACATTTCTCAATTAAAAAGATAATCAAGAGTAAAAATATTATATTTCTGAACCATTTTATCAATATCTTTTTTTTTCTATTCAGAATTGAAAGGATGATGTGTTCTCTTTAGAAGAAAATGCAATTTGTTGTGTCACTGTGACGTCAATAACATGTCGAAGTTGACATATTTGATCATAAATTGGCATTTTACATATAATTTGGATACATTTAAATATATTTAAAAGCCTTACCTAAAAAGATAAACGTATTTATACAAGACTTTTTGTACCATAATAGCTTTTAAGGTAAGTTTAACTCTTAAAAATGAGGACATTTTCGCAGTTTTATTTAGGTACAAGAAATTTAAAAGTTTTGAGAAAATATTGCCGACAAAATTCAAAAATATAAATACTTATATGTGACAGGCTTAGACGAAAAAGTAATATAAATTGCCTAGAATTTTATTTAAATCATTTATTGAAAAACTCCAGTAGCTCATAATTATTGCAGTCCATTTTTTCATCTAACATTAACGTCCAATTGCTTTGAATAAACTTAAATTTTTCAAACTATTTTTAAACGAATTGAAAACTTACCCTATATATGGGGGCGACGCAGATATAGGACTGGCATTTGGCATATTGGTATCATTTCTAATGTATGTGTTTACTGCAATCTTCAGCACAACACTCATTGGGGTCTTGTCAGTACCCGTTAATATCCAGGAAATATTATTCAGCCTAAAAGCGTATGATAATAAGATTATTATTTATTGAAACAGTTTAAACAAAGCTTTCACCACATTTTCAATTTTTATTTGTCCCATAACAATATACGAATATCAGTTGTTGTCGTAGTAAAGTTTCATTATATGAATAAATGGGTATTTTTGGTAAACTTGTCTTGTTTTTCTTTGCTGATTCATTGATATATATCAAATTTTCATCGATAATAGATTTGTTAGATTGACATTTCAACCTTAAATCAGTTTATTCACTCAATTAATACCATACCTTAACGTAAATCTGGGTATGTTTGACAAGGGAATCAAAAACTTGTTTTCTCCCTGTTCGTATGATGGAGTATTGCTAACTGTGGTCAAAACATAGTTTAGGTTGTACTTTGTATCTGTGATTGTTCCATTGTCATATTGCCAGAAAATGTTGTCATAGATACTAGATGGTTTAGTCTTTCCTATATCTGATGATGAACAAGGATTCCCACAAGGACCTGTGTTTTTCTCCCATGTTGTCCTACATATAAACTGTATTTGCTGCAAAAAATCCATAATGTTACAATTAGATAATGATTGATTAAAACCATATTCAATCCAAAAATAAAAAAGGCTAAAAAATAAGTCAATTAGCAATTGCTTCTAGGAGATTTATTGGTAACCTCGGATACTAAAAGTCCACTAGTAGCAGTACCGACCCCAGTGGTAGCTATTAAACATGGTGATGCAGATTTCCAGGCGTACAAAATTTGTGTCTTAAATTCTTTCTTACTTCGTATTTGATTTTAGCCTTCCTACTGGATTAGAGGATCACTGTTGATTTTTATGTACACGATACGCGCGTATGGCATTCCAAATTATGAACCTGATATCTTTGATGAGTGTTTCAAACCACTGGGTTAATACCACTGCTGGTGGCAGTTTCGTCCACGAATGTACCACCAGCCCAATAGTCAGCACTTTTGACATGCAATACCATTGACGTGTTCATTTTCTGAAAGTTTACTGTTTATGAAATGTTAAATTATTCGAAGTAAAATAATGTTTCTACCAACAAGCATAAATTGCAGTAGCCGTATTTGGCAAAAGCCTTTCGGAATTTTCGGTTTCTGATGCTCCTCAACTCGTACTCGATTTTTGCCATCCAGCGGGTTAAATTCAAGCGCCAAAAACTAGTCCTATGTAACGAAACTCGGGTCTGGCGTACTTTTTTTATCCTGCTACATCTGATTAATTTAGTTTTTAGAATTATATTCATAAGTTTCGCTCGACACAAAATATTTAAAAGCAAAAACAAAATCTGTTTATATATCTTTGACTTTCAAAAATGTTGGTATCTAGCTTTCCGATGAAGGTTATCCCAAAACACGTGCTGTACACGGAGAGATAATGGCATACGTCTTCGTCGGACGGAGTTGTTATCTTAGTTTTAGTACAATTACATAATTCCTAAACTTGAAATTTACAGAAAATAATGAATTAACTTAAGCATGCCGGTACTGAAGTAATGACGAGTGGCGAAATGCTCCCTCGGGAACGCCCCAGTGATAGTAATAAAGCGTACATATACGCAACGGTTTTTGGTACAAACGCCACATGATTATTGAGTTGATATTGTCCAACGGTATTTACTTTTAACAAAGTTAATCAGAGTAATTGATTAGTGTTTTACTCGCTTGGCTTTTAAATAATTAATAACTATATTTCTGTTCTTATTTTCTATTCTATAAACTATATATATGCATTTACGCTACAGATCTACCTCTTCCAGTTTTGGCTACACGTGCTGTTCTTATCTATCAAGTAATGAATATTCAATAGCTATGTAGGCGTGTCAAACGCGATAATGACCAGCCAGTACACAATGCTATGATTTCATTAACCAGTATTAAAGGGACATTAGCTATCAAATTCATGTTCACCTATTTGACTCAAATTCTCATATTTGATTTATAACATACTTAAACATATATCAGATTTACAAAAAAGTCTAAAATAAACAATCGATAATGCATGGACTCGATAAATATAAATGGATCGCGACCACGTGCAATCGGATTTTTCTAGGTCTGTTTGATTTCATATTATAGGTTAAAAAGTATGTTTATCATCGTTTTTACCTGTATAAGAATAATTTTTGGTAGATCGAATCATTCAAGCAAATGGTTCATCCTTGTTTCACTTGCAATGTTCTCATTCTTTTCCTTTTAATAGGTGAACACGCTTAAATCATGCGTAACCGATCTCTAGCTAAGGGGTTAAATAGAAGGTCACATGAATACGGATTCAATGAGGTCGAATTATTCACTTGCAAAGCGAATAATTCATCAGCGATGTTTCTTTGCTTATTTTGACAAAATTGAACCAAATTGGTGCTAAAAGCAAATTATTATTTCACTATTACACTTTCATTAATGATTGAACAAAAAAAAATCCTGTATCATTTTTTTTTATATCTCGTAGGTAATGCCCCTTTAAAAAGATAAATATAACATCCCCGCCCAGAGGTGGGGCGACAGCCTTAGGTGCTGTGTACAAATTTTTGTAGGTCACGTGGTACGATTTTAGCATCCCTCGACAATTTTGAATCTGGAAATGATCGATTTGTTCATGTTTTTATATCAAATATACTCTCTTGCACTCGCAGAAAATATAGAAAGTTATGAAATAAAAAGATTAATCAATGATAGAAGATCACTTTATATGAATTATTTTCTTTATGTTTTTTTCTTTTAAAGTAAATTCTATCAATAAAGAAATGCACTGTAATGGCGGGAAATTGTATTCGGTCTCTGCGAAATCACGAGGCACAGATTTTTGTAAATTTTACAAATGTCAGCACGTGAAAATCATTCAAATTTATGTCAATTAAAGAACACTATTCTAACATTCTAAATATTCTTAAGTCTCCTTAAGTCTCCAGCCGTTGCTTCGTAAAAAGTCGCTAAAATATGATTTCCGGTAAGTAAAATATCCAAAATATTTGTTAAATCCGCGATTAATTATGTTATTTTAGGCATATAAACTCTTATGTATTTTAATTATTTTGAAAACAAAATGAAAATTTTGTCTTAGGAATAACCATCATGAAAAAATATAGTTTTTTATAATTGAATCGTGCATTATATGTGTATTGGTTTGCTTAATTGCCTTCTCTCTAGTGTTATCTCTGTTCTGTTTACTGAGAAATGACGAAATAATGAAATATTTAAAAATTACTATTTTACAAAACTTTGTCCCGATTAGAAACTTTAAACCGACTGAAAAAAGTGAGAATTCAGTGATTATCGATGTCGAAATTTGCCCTTGGTAATAAACAGTCAGCCTGGATATAGATATGTTTATTGCCAAGAAATAACTTACAAATTTGTTTATTATGTATGTACAAAGTATATGTATATTGCATGACCAGCCCTTCTGTATATTACTTGTTTTTTTAATTAATTCAACAAATTTCGCTTGTCAGGTATCATTAACGGTGATGTCCACAACACGAGTAGTTTGATATAAATGACACAATACCACCGCGACCGATCGATAATATAAGACAAATCTGCGTGCCGTGTGCAGAGTGTCGTCCCTCCTCTAATCCCCTCCCACAAATTAGAAATTTCTAAAAATTTCCTACTGGTAAATAAAATCTGTATATAAAGATAATCAACAATAATAAAAAAACTGAAACAATCTATAAGCAAACTAATTGTATACACACCATACTAAAAAAAAACGATATTAAGATAGGTACTTCTAATTTATTTTTTTAAATTTAAAACTTGTACGAACTTTGTTGACCAAAAATAAAAACAATATATATAAAAGATTTTGAATAAAATTTTCTTTTTCTTCACAAAAATATGCAGTTAAAAGAAGTACTATGTACAAAATGGATACGAAAACAGAAAGCAATAAAAAATCATTTAATTAGTACTGATGATCATGGTTTAAACAACGTAATTAACTTGCAGTTTAATTTTCGGTTTTTTAAACTTTGTTTATCTGATTTGTCAAAATGACAAGTGTGCATAACATTTATAGTTACAAATCAAGTAACCTAACCCACCAAAGCTCATTAGAACTCATTCTGTAGAAACTACAACATCATTAATATCTCTCTGTGAATATCCAGACATAGATGTTCGATACCATTGGTCGTCAAATTTGACCATTAAACTTTGACCGCGTCCTCCACCATAATAGATCCGTGTTTTACTCGCTTGGCTTTTAAATGATTATTAACTATACTTCTGTAAGTTCTGTTCTTATTTTCTATTCTATAAACTACATATATGCATTTACGCTACAGATCTACCACTCCCAGTTTTGGCTACACGTGAATATTCAATATCTATGTAGACGTGTCAAAATCGTATCAAACGCGATAATGACCAGCCAGTACACAATGTTATGTTTTCAATAACCAGTATTAAAAACATAAATATAACAAGAGGTGGACGATACCAAAGGGACATTCTAACCAAAAAGTCGAAAACAAACAGACAATTCCATGGCACAGAAACGAAAAACGACAAAAAGACAAACAAGCCTACAAAAAAAAAAAAAAAAAAGACTTAGCTATGGCAAGCCGTTCTCGTCAAAACTCTGTTAAAACAATTTTTTCGAAAAAATTACACACTGAGATTTAAGAACCTAAAATAACTTCAGAAAATAACACACTGAGAAATCGAAATTATACACTGAGATTTTAAAATAACACACTGAGATTTAAAAAAATGAAAAATACACACTGAGAATTTAAAATTACACACCGAGATTTTAAAAAGACACACTGAGATGAAATAAATTGAAAAACACACACTGAGAATTGTTAATTACACAAAGAGATTTCAAAAATACACACTAAGATTAATACGCAAATTACTAATGAATATTCATGAGATTAATAATTCAACAGATTAATATCTTGGTGTCCCGAACTGTTGTCATTATAATGGAATGCGGTTCCTACAACCAACATTCGTACTAAATTTCAAGACTAATTAAATTTTTTTTCTATCTCATATTCATAAGTTTGTTGCCTATAATTCAGATTATTACTAACAGTTTATCGGTATTTTTTGCTTAAAACTGTTTAAGCATGGTCCCTTTTCAAAAGTCTTCCAACTGTTACCCTGATTTTGCAAGGCAATCTTTAATATTTTTGACATGTTAATATGCTATAATAGGCACTTGGGAAAAAATTAATTGTATTTTTGCAGAAATGTCCAATGTTTTCTTATAATTTTAATAAAGTTTTTCACCATTTGTTTATATTTTGTAATGAGAGTAGGTGGGTATTTTTCTTGTTCTATTGGTCTTTAATAACGTAGCTTTTCTATACGTTGTATTTTTAATGTTTTTTTATAAAACATTGAACGCCAAATTGAAGGGCTAACGAGTTCTGTACCCTAGTTGTTTTAAGCTTGTAATAGATTCAGATTAAGTATGCTAATTAGATATGTGCGCATAAAAAGTGCGCACAAATCTCAGTGTGTAATTTTAAATTCTCAGTGTGTAACTTCAAATTCTCAGTGTGTGATTTTCAGTTTATTTCATCT